TTTTGAAGCTTTGGCATACAATTGATTGTCTCTCAAAACTTGAAGTACCTATTGTAAATGACTTCTATGATCACTCAAAGTTTTGCTCTACACCAATATATCATCTAGAAAAACAATGAAAGATTTATCTAGATAAGTGCGAAAGATATCGTTTATCAATCCCATGAATGTAACTGATGCATTAATGAGACTAAAAGACATTACTAGAAACTAAAAGTGGCCATACCTAGTACAAAAAGTTGTCTTGTTCACATCTTCACAACTGCTGATCTTGTGGCGCTTCCAACTAACACATCCAATCTTTACCAAAAAAGGACACGGATCACTGACGTGGCACTGTCAACTAATACACCCCCTCTCTATCTAGTAAACGCGCAGATCGTTGACGTGACAACTACGACTTGTGCACGCTAAAGTATGTATATCAACATTTGAAGTAACCTCTACTTTAGTTCAACCTAATTAAAAATGGTTACGGCTTATTATCATAAGATTTATATTAATATACAATAAGAAAATTATTCATATAAATGAATAACATCATTATCAATAATATCAAAAAAATCATTTTGAACTTTTTTCAAACGATACATAACGGACATAAAGAAAATCGCATGAAAAAAACACATGAAATCACTCACATAGATTATCATTAAAAAAATCTACAATTTTTGACTGGTCAATAATTAGATCGCCATCTTAAGTAAAGACAACCCATTTGAAAGTTCATTGATCCAATACCTTGAATCAACCGTCATTAACATCATTTCAAACAACTCACCACTGTCACCAAGAACCCCTCATCAAAAAAAGTTAATACTAACATTCTACTCCTTTATACATATACTCAAATGGTTAACTCCTTAAACTAGATAATTACTCTACGAAAAAATCTAGAAGAAAACCTAAAAAAATATCTTTAAACTATAAAATTAGAACAAAGCGGTAGCCAAAATTTGATAGAGTGAAAATATATGAAGTATCTAAGAATGCTAGTATTTTCTATTTGTGCTCCTCATGCAAAATTGCATAGTAGCACATTGTTTTCAAAAACATTTCAAAATAATAACTTTGATAAACGTATCAGCTAGATTCAATTTAACGTCAATTTTAACTATCTCAATACTTTTATCAAAAACTGTATGTTTGATACAGTGATATTTGATATCAATTTGTTTCACCTTCTTAATCATCACTTGAACTATAATAAGATGCAATGCACTCTGATTCTCATAGTGAAGATTGACAAACTCTTGTTTTTCAACCTTATTTTAGTGATAAGCTTATCCAACCAAATAGTTTACTTTGCTACTTCTATCATCGCTACATACTAAGTTTCCGTTGTAAACTTGACTACGCATTTTTGCAGATTGATCTCTAACTAATTTGTCACCATCAAGTGTAAACACAAAATTTGTTGTAAATTTTCTCTGATCTAGATATTGTACATAATCAATATCAATGCATTCTAACAAGGATTTGATTTTGTATACTAAACTTTCAAACAATACACCATAATACCTAATACTTTTCAAGTACTTGAGAATTCATTTCACTTTTTTTCAGTACAATTTTCTTGAATTTGACATGTAATTATTTACCTTGCGTTTAATTAAAGCAATATAAGACCTTGTGCGCACAATCAAATACATGAGGGTGTACACAACTTTGTCAAAGAAAAAAGATGACATTTTTTACTTCTTAATGTCATCAATTGAAAATTGAGGTGCAAAAAGTATGAAATATGTTATCAAAGGAGTCAATACTCCTTTAGATTTTTCCATTTTAAATTTGTCAATTACACATTGAACGTACTTGATTTGATTTAATCATAGTTTCTTTTTCATCAAATTCCTATGAATTTTCAACCCTAATATACTCTTGGACTTACCGAAATACTTCATCTTAAATGAAAATTTCAATTCACCATTGCATCTATTAACGTTGTAGTTATTCTTCACCAAGATGAGCATGTTATACACATAGAGTATTAAAATAATAAAATTTATTATCCCATTATTCAACTTCTTCATCTTTATACAAGGATCATACACACTAAGTGAAAAACTTTATACTTTCATGAATTCATTAAATCTTGCATTTCATTAACTAGTAGGTAATTTCAATTCTTATAACAATCTCAACAGTCTACAAATCATCTTTTCTTCTCAAGTCTAAGTGATTGTCTAATGTAAATTTTCATCTCTAGAGATATTTTGGAATTATGTACATCTGATTCATTACAAGACTAAGTATTGCAGCAAATGCACATTTCAACAATATTGTAACATAACTTGCTACAAGTGAAAAATATTCATTCTAGTCCACACCTTTTTATTGTTTAAAATCTCTAGCCATCAACCTGGTTTTAAAAATAATTTTCTTGTCATCAGCTGCTAGATTGTATTTCCGCTTCTACAATCATTTGCAATCAATCAAAGCTTAATTTCTTGGTAGTTCCACTTATTCATCAACGATTGCATCTCATATTCCATAGCAACATTCCACTTAAGCTTATTAATAGAGTCTTGAACTTTTGTATAAGAAGAAGATAATACTTCTTCTAATATCAACAAAATGCCATCACCATACTCTATATCAATATAACAATTTTCAAAAATGGATGAATCAGTTCAAAATTTGTACATTGCAAGAGCTCTACTCATCCGATTTGAACAACTTTTATTAAAAGCAACTGATTGATCTTTATTATCTAGTGCAGATGCTTGAGACTCTACTTATACGAATTGAAGAACTTCTAATAGAAGATTTTAGTTTATTTCTATTGTTTAGTGCAAATATTTGAGACTCATCAATGATGATATGCTTGTAGAGTTTCACGAGAATCACATTAAAATGTATGTGGTTCAACTCCACATGAGGTTACATCCATGATCAAGATAGAAACTTCACAGAATCAAAAAGTATACATCAGGCCTCCATAGCCAAGCTCTTGACTATTTCATGAAGTGTACATGTGATACTAACCTGAAATGTGCTCATCATAGTACTAAGTTTCTCTATTCCTAACTAGAATCCAACTCTAACTACGATTAACAAGACGCATATTAACCTTCCCTAATATTTACTATCCATATATAGTTTCAGCAAAAAGTTCTAGAAGGTAAAATAATTCATAGCTTTCCCTCTATGAACAAGTGTTAACTGGGAACTAAGTATTTGAGAACATGTTATATAGAACCACATACATAAAGCTTATCATGTAATCTAAACATCAATGCAAATATTTTTTGAAATTTATCAGAAGTAATTATTTTAAAAAAGCCATTAGTTGGGTTAAGCCGATGTTCTTAGACACCTCTTGTATGATAAAATGATACATGATGTGAATGTACTTCATCCTAATATCTATCACCTAATTCTCAGCAAGATAAAGCACACTTTGATTATCACAATGAAGATTGACTTCCTCTTGCGTTAATCTCATCTCAGTGATAAGCTTGTTCAACCAGATTGTTTTCTTTGTTGACTCTGCTACTACGACGTATTGAATCTCTGTGGATGACAAAGAAATGCACTTCTGAAGAGTAGATTTCAAAGGAATGCAGCCATCTATAAGAATGAAAACATATCCAATTGTTGATTTACTCTTGTCCAAATTTACTCCATGATCAGCATCCACATATCTCAAAAGTAACTTGTTATTCATTGATGTAGCCATCTCATTTAGAACCCTTAATGTACCTTCTCCACTTCACAACTTCCCAATGCACATTGCTTGGATTTGACATATACGTGCTCACCTTAACTACAGCAAATGCTATTTTCGGTAGTGTGCATACTATTAAATACATGAGATGATTTAATTGTATTCTCATAGAGAATAAAAGATATCAAGATTTTCTCAACTGCATTCACAGTACATTGCGCTGCTGAAAGTAAGAAAGCAACCAATGCATTATTTACAAGTTTAGATTCAATCATGTTGAATTTTACAAGCTCCTTATGTTGAGATCACGAAAGTTTCACTTGATTTCTGATACCAAAATAACGCCATGCTAAGAATTTGTTTTGATTGACTCTAATATTTCATATTCAAAATTGAATTCAACTTATCAACGTTGAAATTTTTTTGAGTTACAATAAGCATATCATAAACATACAAGACGAGAATGATAAACCTCTAAGTAAAAAAAAAAAAAAAAAAAAATTTCAAATAAACTCAAGTATCATATATATTTTGTAAATGATTGACATTTACAAAAAGTCAATGTCAAAATAGATGAAATCGAGAAATTGGTGCCGTGAATCACTGTGGATATACTGACAGCCAAAGTATACTTACTTTGCCTCCTACAGACCGAAGAAATATCCTTTCCTACTAGATTTTCTTTGTATTGAATTTTGGCTGTATCTAAATTTTTAAGTAACACAACTAATAATGTTGAAGTCTTGCAACAACAATTCAAACATATTATTTATGAACTACAATTAGAATTATATATTTCTTCTAAATTTTTGATCTAGAAATGTACTCTAGAGGATGTTATCTCCTTCTCTGATGGAGTTAATTTTTCTTCAATTATTATTATTTTACTATTTATTACACTGTCCGTAAAAATCATATTACGCGTGAGCTACTCAAAATTAAATTAGTTATAAATGGAAACTATTTATGTTCTGTGCATTGTTCGCTATATGTTAGTGAATTATCATGAAAACATAATAGTACAATCTATTAGATACAGTTCAATTTAACAAATTAGAGTATGATTTATGAGTCGTGGTTCATGCTCTTCCCTGTAAGCTGATGTCGTATCTTCGCGGTGCAGACTTGAACTTTGAAGATCGAAAAGCATTCGACCTCGGCTTGCAGGCAAGACAACAAGCCAAGAAATATTATACTACGAACCATGTTCATAACACCTATAGCGTGGAACCGACCCGGCACTTAACGTGTCAGCCTTTTCTACGTGGTACAACCCAAAGCAAAAAAAATTGGCGGCGAATCTCTATCGGAAGCAGGAGATTTAAACAATCCACATATCACAAAAACTTTCCCGACTTTAATCAATATCTTCCCAGCCCATGAGAAATGCCACCTGGCACACGAAGGTCAAGGATCATCATGGCCATATCTATTCATTAATGACAGGCACTCCAGGTCCTTCGCGAATATAGTCCTTTCTAGCCACATGAGCTCTTATTTACAGGGTGGTGAATCACTATACAAGGGTCCTGTGGTTGGACGATTAATTATCGGCCTCACTGATCAGACAATAACTTTAAAAAACCGACAAAGTTGACGCCATAGTGGAACTAAACAGGAAACTATCGTTCGCATATCCATTTCCGCTAAATTCTTGCTTGCTTGCTTGCTTCCTGTCATGAATCACCTGCCCAAAACTTTGTCAAGAACCGTTGACAAATATTTTGGTGGGCAAGAAACCAAAGAATAAAATTCATCTAAACTCGTCAGCCTTGAAGGTAACCAATCGATCAAGCCTGACAAGTCGAACGGCTACACGTAAGAAAAATGCTAACCGTTACTCCTAACAAGCTAGGAGTAACGAAGACAAGGAAGCCTTACGAAAATGATAATAGATTCCTCGTAGTGACAAATGGGCTATGAATGCGCAATGATCCAGGCAGCTTCACCTCACAAAAACACTGCAACTGCACAGACTTCCTGCGAACCAAAAAATGACAAGGCATTACAAGCATGCTCCAGAGTCTGGAGAACTTGATTCACCAGCCCAAATATTTTCAACCACACCAGCTGCTCAGTAGGAACATATGCTCTTCTACTTTGAAAATACTCCACAGACCAAAATCAAGTCTTAGTACCAAATTCAAGTGAATATGAGGTACATACCACGATAGGAAATTTAATGGAGACGACATGGATCTTTCAAAAGCATCCCGAAGAACAGAAATATCTGGGACTACTCAGGCTCCACAAAAACCTGCAAAACGAGACTATATGAACAACGCAAAATATATACAGTGCATATATATATTTGACGTTCATCAAGAACCGAGAAGCTGTGAACTAGCTACCCTATTTGTTATGATCAGATACATCTCCAATTGTTTGCGAGATTTCCCCCTGCATTTCATCCAAGACAACCATAACCTCCCATACAAGGACTTTCCTATCACAATGCGTATTAACATCAGGGTCAAACAACAGCAGTAAGTCAATAACATTAAGGTATAGATTCGATTGACGGTGAGTAATAATAGCAAATAAATGATAATTTACTTCAAAATTATCTTTTTAAGTTGATCGTCCTTTTCAGGCTATCATTGTGGCTGAGGAGTCACGAGCCACTATGGTTTAAGATTTCGGATTTGTGTGTCCAGTCTGAAAGAACCTAAAATTTGTGCATCTACTATTAGTTACTAATGTAGTCTAAATGTTCAGTGTCCTTTCTATGATCATCAACCCACGTCTCATTATGGAGAAGAGAAATCATCTAAACGTTATACATATGCATCACTTCTATACAGTTTAAGCGTCTATACGTAACGATCACATTCACACTGATGATAGAAGAAAGTGTACAGAGAAGAGGAAATTTTTAGTCATTTCTGATTTAGTGCTTCTACTATGGGTGTTAGAATATTGTTTTACTCCCTATTACTTCATGTCTCTTCTATAGTGTACTTATAGTTAGGACTGTGTTGTGACGTAGATTACAGCTGTAATATAACGGCCACCGTAACCGTTACCCACTACGGAGGTGTGTAACACTGTGTCTGTTCATTTTCTTTGTCGCCTCGGATTGGGTAATGAAACCCAATCCCGGACCTGTGTTTTAATCAACAACTCTTATGTGGATCCTTCCTCAGAACAAAGGAACCTGTGTCGACCCATTCTTGCATTGCTATAGGACTTTTTGTAATATGGTATCAGAGCATCCATTCTGTAAGGCATCTTGATAAGTAGTAGGTTCTCCGTGAATCATCCTCCTCTCGTTGATACGGTTCGCAACCTCGAGCACTTACTGGGTGACCTCAGACTTCAAGACACTACATCTGAGACCCCGGCTACAGATACAGCTAGGGGGCAGCTTCACCCTCTTCCCGCACCATCAATCCTATCTTTCGAAAGGGGGAAAGAGTAAGGAAACGTGTCGAAAAATATGATCAACTGTTGGAAAAGAAGAAGAAGCATCGAGGTTTATTTTCGTATGGAGAGACTCACAAAGAACCTACTTCTTATCAAGATGGCTTACAGAATGGTGATTCTATCAAATGGAAAAGCTATGGAAGATGAATTTTCTTCTTTGAAGAAAAATCAAACCTGGACATTGACAGAGTTACCTGCGAGCAAGAACGTCGTTGGCTGTAAATGGATTTATAAAATCAGATACAAGCCTGACGGTTCTGTTGATCGATACAAGGCCAGATTAGTAGCGAAAGGATATTCACAGGTTTATGGTGTTGACTTTTCGGAGACATTTTCTGCTGTGGTGAAGATGACATCTATTAGGGTGTTAATGGTTCTAGCCGCTCAAATCAATTTGGAGCTGCACCAGATGGACGTGAAAACTGCATTTCTGAAAGGACTATTGGATGAAGAAGTCTACATGGCCCTTCCTGAAGGGTTGAATATCTCTTCTGAGAAAAACATGGTATGCAAACTGAATAAGTCCATTTATGGTCTGAAGTCCTCACGACAGTGGTATCAAAGGATTGACTCATTCTTACTGCAGATTGCTTTTAACAGAGCTCATGCAGATCAGAATGTTTACAAATACTCTCAGGAGAATACATTTGTGTATTTAGCACTATATGTGGACGACTGTATACTGGCGAGTGATTCCTTGCGTCTTCTTACAAATATCAAGGAGAAACTTACATCGGAGTTCCATATGGTGGACTTAGATGGTGGACTTAGAAGAGATCCATCATTGTCTTGGTATGCAAGTGGACAAAAATCGTGAAGAAGGGTGGATTCGGATCTCCCAACCACGATATTTGGTTGAAAAACTTGCGAGGTTCAACATGGCTGACTGTAAGCCTATTGATACACCTATGGAACCCGGTTTGAAGTTAAGTGTGCTTGACTCTCCCAATTCAGTGGGAGAAAGTGAAGAGATAAAAGATATACCATATCAAGCTGCTGTTGGGAGCTTGATGTGGGCGATGGTCTGTACTAGACCTGATATATCTTATGCTGTTAGTTCAGTGGCTCAGTTCATGTCAAATCCTGAATTGATACACTGGAAGGCAGTTAAGAGGATTTTCAGATATCTGAAAGTAACTCTCGATTTTGGCCTTGTGTTTACAAGGGTTGATAAACCATCCGGTTTGACTGGATATTCTGATGCGGACTGGGGAGGTTGCCTTGACACGAGACGATCTACTTCTGGATATTGCTTCCAACTCAATGGTTGGACATCAAAGAAACAAAGTCAGTAGCACTTTCTTCTACTGAAGCAGAGTATATGGCTCTGTCCAAGGCTGGAGTTGAAGCTATGTGGTTAAGAGAATTATTGATCGATCTAGGCTTTGAGCTGGAGTCGACAACAATATTCTGCGACAATCAAAATGCTATTGCACAAGTAGAAAACCCGAAGAAACATGAAAGATCAAAGCACATTGATATTAGATATCATTTTGTCAGGGACCTAGTCGAAAATAACTTGGTGAAGTTGGTTTATCTTCCAACCCAAGAGATGATTGCTGATATTATGACAAAACCATTAGCTAGAGAAAGTCAATGGTGTCATAATCAGAATGTAGTTATGTTAGTTGGAAGTGAGGAAGAGAAAAGTAAGTAGGTAGTAAGTGGGAGTGTTAGAATACTGTTATACTCCCAATTACTTCCTGTCTCTTCTCTAGTGTACTTATAGTTAGGACTGTGTTGTGATGTAGAAGACTGTTACCCACTACGGAGGTGTGTCCCACTGTGTCTGTTCATTTCCTTTGTCACCTCGGATTGGGTATTTAAACCCAATCCGGGGATTTATGTTTTAATCAAACTCTCATGTGGATCCCTCCTCAGTTCACACAGAGGTTCCTTAATTCTGAGGAACTAAGGAACCTGTGTCGACCCATTCTTGCTTGCTCTCTAATACCTTTTCTAATAGTGTGCATACCTCGGTTGGTGAAAGAATGTCAAAAACCTTCCCGTCTCTCACATCGACCACCCTGATCCCGATAATACGTTGCACTCCGATGGCGGTAGCTACCAAACTCTGCATGCCCAACAAATAAAAATAAATATGGGAATACATTGAAGTTTCCTTATAGTAGTACAGTAAGTTAAGGGCACGGTTCCCTGTCTTATGTAACAAATGAGCATGTCTCTTGAGTATCTGGTAACATGCAGGAAAAACGAACGGAATAAGGCGAAATTTGAAAAAAAGCAACATGGGTAGTAGAAAAGTACCAGATTGAAATCCGTCGAGCCCGAAGGTTCTAGTTGTGGCACAATCTGCAAAAAGCGCTGGCTCGTGAGTGCTGTTCTAGACAAGAAACAAATTGATCTTTAAAAGGATGAAACAAAATTGCACCATATCCAACAGACGAAGATGCACAATGACAACAACTCCTAGACAAGAACTGGAAGATCTCTAACTCCAGAAAGAAATGTTGTTCGCCTCTTTTAAACATCTATATAAACCCAGTTTGTAGTTCAGAAAATGAGTGCTCACAAGAGACCAAAGGCCATTGACAACGATTGCTCTTTTGACACCCTGGGCATCTTCCTGCGACATCGAAATCTGAAGAGGTCCGACTCTGTGATCGGTGGAGTTATTTACAGTAACACGCACCTGGATTCAAATCAGAGAAGCCGAGTGAGAGATGTTTCTCGAAATATTCCGTCTTAAAGTAGAGAGTAGGGCATCCATGGTCTCCAAAGATTACTATGTCTGCTATACAAAACTGGAGCTTGGACTATTCCAACTCACCAGGAATGGACGCTCCAGAATAATCCGCGATGGAAGCTCTGCGATTTCAAGACTCACTTCTTTGCGCGGAACAGGCTGTCGAGAAACAAGCAGACATTGAAGATAATCTCCATGGCACATAGATGGAAGCGTATTTCTAACTGAGAATAGTTGTCACTGAACTTTCGACAACACTGCAGATTTCTATTACTCTTAACTGTTCACAAGGGGAAGTTCAGACGTGACTTGTCGTAACTCATTTAAACTTACTATTAGCGTAACTACATTAAAGCTCCGTAATCTTGAGAAAAAAAAAAGATGGTAAAATGCGCATTGCCACAAGAATTTATAGACATCATCCCTTACTATTAGCATAACTACATTAAAGCTCCGTAATCTTGAGTGTAAAAAAAGATGGTAAAATGCGCATTGCCACAAGAACTTATAGACATCATCCCTTACGTTGCCAAGAATTTGCTGAGTTTGAAGACGTCCAGGCTCACCAAGGGTTGTACGCCACAAAAGCTCAAGTTTTCCAAGTGCATTGGTGACGGGTATCTTGGCAACACCTGGATCCGGCGGTGGCGCTGTCAATTGGTACAAAAAGTGTCGAGTACCTCCATTCGCTCTCACCAGCTTCACCTGATTAAAAAGGCCACTGCAAATGAAAGACCACAATAGTTTTCAGATTAGCTCATTGAATTTATACTGGCGTGGGAACAGATGAATGAAGGCTCTTTTTGAGATATGTGAAAACAGCCGCTTCCTGAAGAGGCAAATCTACTACCTCTGTCCCAGTAAATACCAATGTGGAGATCAAGCCTGCTTCAGATCCAACCACAGTTAACAAATGTGTAAAACCGAGCATCTCTCTTTTTTGATAAATTACCAAAAAAAACTCAAACTAAAACAATACTACAAAAAAATTGCTTGTGGGAATCATGAACGAATGGAGAAGTTCCATAATATCTAACACAAAAGTACCTCAGTAATCCATCGAGGTCATCTTTGGCCTCAGTATCAGGTTCTAAAATTTTGACAACAAAGGGTGGTGCCGGGTCGAACTTCACGTTGTCTAGGAACAAGTGAGAACGGGTATTGTTCTCGATGCATGCTTCCAAATACGTCGTATCCTGCACCAGCCAGAAATTGCCACAGTGAACCTCGTCTTTAGGCACCATATGCCGAAAGGAAACGACGTCCGTGATTCTCGAATTCTACAGTAGAAGGCAATGTGCTTGTTCGTACCTTCACCATTCGGACCTGCGGACAGAGACATTGGAAAAAATGGTTAGAGAGCAAAAGTTTTAGTGGAGAAATATTGACGATCAAGAGTGATCATGCATAACTCTCTAACGTCATGAAGACCTTACGAAGTAAATTAGAAACCCATCCTACAGAAGTTTGCTTTAAATGTAGACATACATACGTGCAAAAGTTCAGAACATAACGCACCTTGGTTCGCACTGAAAGAGGATTCGTTGCCAGGAACTTGAAGTACTGAGGGAGATACTTGCGTTCACCATCAGAATCAGTGTAGACTGCGATGCAAACAAGACTGATAACCATTGTTTCTTATTATGTGCTCATCTTTTCTGACATCTAACAGCTCCATAAAGGGTAAGTAACTATAAAAGTTTGCACTGAAGGGACCAATGCTCCTACATAAACCTCAACGAAGTTTTGATTTGACTGCAACCTTACATGTTAAGTCAACCAGCGTACGGAACGTGGAAGGTCGTGTCAGCCGACGTGGAACAACTAATTTACTTACGTGTGTTGCCCAAGTTCTTTGATGTCATGCTCGATAATGAAGTCGTAACGACCACCAGCTTTTATGTAGTCTAGTGGAGCCTTAGTGCTATCTGCAAGAATTAATTTCTGCCGCTCCGTCTGCAGCTCTGCCTGCGTAACGACCACAAGGTTAAGACAGAAGCTGTGAAGATGGACAATGTAAAGAAAAATAGCTTATGATAAACCAAATCAACCAGAAGAGAAGGCATATGCTGCAACCACCTTAGAAACTAAACTGAACATCGTACTACTTCTATATATAGCTACTTGACTTCTCGAAGAAAACACTCAGGACCGATTAAAATAGATCAGGATGATGGATAAAGCTCCCAAAAAATGGGAGGTTCGTGCATGTCGTTGCTCCTGATCACTTCTACCACATGCATCGAGTTTGATCTGTAACGTACCTTTACACCAACATCCCTAACATCATGATTGGTGTGATTTCCGACACTGATGTAACTGCAGAAAGTTTCCCCTAAATAAATTGAGCTGCACACACCGACGATGGGTCTCAAAACTTGCAAGTCGTGTTAAAACTGAAGCATTTTCAACTGTCAGGTTAAGAGGACAGGAACGCGGTGGACAGGTGATCCAACGATACCCACAAGAAGACAACTTTTCAAACCAACAGCTCTCCCAAGAATGGAAATGACGGGCACACACCATGACCATAAGCTTCACACCAACCAGATTCCAGAAACTTAACACCATCTAACTATAAACGACCGACAATTCAATTGGAGTGCACAAGAACAAAGACGAAAGAAATATGTTGTTGACTGTTGATTCGTTTCCTACAACTCACCCGAATGTCTGAGGCAGTACTAGGATTCCCGAGAGACCTAAAGCATCTATTGGATCCTCCAACTCAGCACGTCGATAAAATGACGTCTTGTCCTTAGAATCTTCAACATCGCCATGATTCTCCACAAGTTTCTGAACGTCATCCTCTCCACATATCAAGTCCACTGCAGTGCAAAGAACATCCAAAAACTCACCTTCCGAAGTCACAGTTCTAAGTGTTCTGATTCAGGTGGAGCGTAAGCGATGAGGGGTTTATGCAGACTACAGACATTGAGATGTAATTATGGACAAGAATGAAACAACGCATAATACTTGATTTCAAATCAAGTTTTTATGATCAGTAAACTCCACTGGAAGGAGCGCAACATTCGACTTTGCTGGCAAATAAATAGGATGAAAGCATACAAAAGGTAGGCTATAAGCGTCAATGCCCGCTGCCCTTATCTCGGCCCTACTTGCATCTAACAAGATAAATTTACAAACTGCAAAATACCTGCATTTTCAAGTGATCGAAAAAAATTTGTCCTAATGAGTTAAGCGAAAAATGCAAAAATTATGTCCCTTAACTGCGAACTCGATTGCTAGCATACATTTGAGAACTGAACGTCCGAAACACTCATACAAAACTTAATAGACCAATGGCACGCATATCCATAATCCCTGAACCAGGCACAACTCAGAAATTTCGATCAAACCACAAAACAAAATTGCAGCAACCTGTATACACTTCCACGAATGGCAATCAAGAATCATTCAGCTCAATTCCCGAAGACTCACCTGGATCCACACGTAGTCCCAAGTCCACTTGCAATGCAGGCCTGCACAATCTCATGACCCGAAAAGCCAACGAGTGGGCTCCCTGAGTCGAGCTCATCTTCCAGGCTTCTCTTCTTCAATATTGGAAAACGCCGGTGGCCAAGCGCAGACTCGAGGATGCAGGTGTCTAGATCTGTCGACGCTGATCCGATCCGAGAAACGAAGATCCGCCTCCGAAATGACGCATCAAAACGGACCAGAGCTCATGGAAGGAAGGATCGAGACGTGCTGGAAAAATCTCTGATTCAGATCCTGGACGAATCTCAAATCTTCACTTTTAGGGCTCGGTAGCCTCAGTGCTCCTCTCCGACAGCTCTCGCTCGGAGATCTGTCGTTCCTGGAAAGTGGCACGGTCAGCACAGGCCATTTCTGTTCTTCCAACCAGCGACTCTCGACATTTCGTTCGGAGTTTCGGTTCTGAACTTTAGTCCCGTCCTCTTTCCGGAGACGCACTCTGTCTGTAACCTGTCCGGATCTGCGACCACGGGCAGTCTGGGCCGCTTTCGGGGGTAATCTCCCATGATCGGGTATTTTACCCGGACCACGTTCGATTAGTTACTCCCGTCCTTTTTAGCACCACTGGACACCTGCCACTTCCGGCAAGCGAGCTGAATTCGCATCCCGCAGAATGCAGACGGACAGACAGTACAGAACCATGTGGAGGATAGTCACCATCTAATGTACTTCTAGTGTGCTACGGCAACACGCCAATCGATTTTAGGTTTCAGATTCTCATGTTCTTTGGAGATAGTTTTTGAGATATGTTTGCCACTTCAATATTGTTGGTATATGGTCCATGTATAAATTATTGGTTTCATCAGTCTCGACCATCTGCGTGTTTTATACTCTTTCCACTATGCCTAGTCACATGATGATGCAATTCCGTTTAGCATGTTAAAAGTAACAAACTTTTCGTTGATGACATAATATTATCTAACTGTCACAACTTATTTAAGAGAATCCTTAATGGATATATGCGCATAGTAGATACACCCTTCTGCAAATAAAGTGGTTCACACGAGAACTTACTTACATCGACTTTAAAAGATATGAGTTTCATGGGGTAGATTTGTCATCAAGAATACTAAGGATGATGTTTTTCAGGTAAGACTTAGAGACATTACTAAATTATATCATCTATTACAAGATCTAATTACTGCGCTTTACACCAAATTCAAATCAGATAACAATCCTTATTTAATCATATTGAGAATCTTGTAAGAAGTCAAGTCTAGAAGATAAATTGTCCAATCAAGAAATGTCAGTCCGAAATATACAGATAGGAGATAATCAGAGAATACACAGTGGTAAAATGATTCACCCTCAAGTCCGAAATATACAGATAGGAGATAATCAGAGAATACACAGTGGTAAAATGATTCACCCTCAAGTGCTACGCATACTAAAGAATATATGCGAGAAACTTTCCTATTGAGGTGAAAACATAACAACGTGTGTAGCGCATAAGCATGGGGGTATATATATACCCAACACAACCTACCAACCTCAACTATAAACAGCGAAGCATGAATTAACCTCAACAAGAAAGAGCATGGTCAAAAACTTGCTCATCTTTTCTAACATGAGGTTTATTGTGTGGCTATTGATCATCAAAATAGCAAATTTATGTAGATTAACAATGGAATAATAGTTAGGAATGAAAACCTGGAAGCGTAAGTGAAGTAATGAGGCAATATGATGGAGCACATACTGAATTGCTAATGAAAAGATGAGAAAAAGAGTTAAATGATCAACAATTTGCTGCAGATTAAACAACTTGAACTAAATTGTTGATTTTATCACAAAAATATTCACTTATATGAAGGTTTTTCATAATATTATGTTGCATTTGATAAATTAAAATTCCATACAAAATAATGTTACTAAGTACTCAAATGAAACAAAGTAGTTAATTATCCGTATTGGCATAGAAGTACAATTTCAAGACAATTTTGTATCCATATATCATCAGTTGATCAAGAATACTAATATTGATATTTGAGATAAATTTTTATTGAAAGAGATGTAGATAATACAAATTCATGTCAATTATGCTTAATTGATGTAGATCGAACATTCAATTATATGCATGCTCAATCACACATATCTAAATTTAGTATCATGTGATAATTGATAGAATAATGATCTAATTTTTTATTTAATGTTTTTGTACAATAAAAAACATCAGATGTTGTATTTTAATTGTTTGATATCATAAGTAAGTGGATGAATTTTATAATTGTGTTCATGTCGTAGTATTGAATAATCTTATACAAATTTAAACATATGTAAATGAGTACATGCATAAATAATACACTTGATTCAAATGTAATCTAAAATACTTATGTATACTTTTGAGGGATGATTAAATTCATCCCGTCCCCTCACTTTTCATGTATGTTAAATTAAAATGTCAATGTGTTACAAAAAACCATCTATCTTTTCAATTTAAACAGTATCACCTTCAAGAGCAAATTCACCTATCTGAGAGTCATCATGATTATTTCTTGCACCATACACGATTATTTTTACAATGCAATGCAAGAACCTCCAGACACATAGTATGGTACTTTTGACAATATTTTTTAAAGTGTGTAAGTTTTTGCACACAACCTAAAACTATGGAATTTTTTAAGACTTTACCGATCGGGAAAAAAGTAAGTTTGTTTTCAATTGCAACCGTTGTAGAACCTATCATTGACAAGCGTCTACCTCAAACTGGAATAGGCTCTACCTTCAACATCTACATTTGACTCGTGGGGGAGATAATAGTTGGCATGTTCGCAACTCGAAACACAACCACAAACTTTCTTTGGATGTCTTGTTGCAATGACAATTGAGGATGAATTTAACATCCCCTGCTTTTTTATAAATGAGTATATTATAATTGGCAAAACTATGAAGGTTTTTGACTATCGAGGATTAGAGAGAAAATTATTTATTTTTTTATTATTTAAAATTGAATTTGAGCATGGTATAGTAGGATTTGCATGTACTGATATTTACATGTGCAACAATCTTATTAAACGTCAGAATACCTTCCCGTTTATACATTCAAAATCTCGTCGTTGTGGTGACTGAATCTCTCTGATTGCAGATTATGTCTTTTATCACTGTGACGATATTACTTCAGCGGCGCAGAAAGAATGAAAATTCAAATGAAAAATGTCTCATACACAGATAATAAGATACGCAAAGGTCTGAGATAGTAAAGTGGAAAAAAAACACCTGTGTTCTCTATGAATATTATAATGTTTCCGAGTATCAGATAGCGAAGACATAACGACATGAAATTAGCAACAGAAACGTGTGATTCCTTGAACTGCAATTAAAGAATCAAATAACGACCTGGTTGTTCATCCTGGAGCAATCCGGAAAAGCTTATTAGATGTCTTGGGAGTTGAAAACTCTGCAAGAACTGAGACGTGTGTGAATTATGCGCATCGCTGGCCGAGCTCAAGCTAGGCGACGAGCTTTGTTTCTTCCACCACCGTTCCGCCGGATCCATGAACGGTGCAGTGAGGTCGACGCGCCAGCAGCCCTAGCCAGCAAGCAGTTAATGAGGCTGCAAGATACAATTATTCGAAGCAGGGTGGGATTTAAATAGCCCCAAAGCTAACGGTTACAGAGAGTTGACTGTACCCGATGAACGATGGAACAATTGCACAGCACAGGAGAGCAGTCCTTCCGAGGGCCACCCGGAGGCCAGTCGGACGACGATGTCGGGGACGGAAGAGCGACACGGAGGAGGAGCCAAACGTCGTCGCCGCAGAAGTCAGCCGTGGGTTCCCACTGCCCAGTCACCGTCCGTCCGTCCGTCCGTCCTAGCTCGTGTCAGGACTCGGAAGGCCGGTCGGAGAGTAACCATCCGCGACTCACTTTACCGCAGTAGCAGCTCGAGTCGAACACTGCGCGAGTCCCCACTGGGTGGATGGATGGATGTTCCTCTTGTACCTGAAAATTGCGCGTGCTCACTAAGACTGGTCGTCGTCGATTTCCCGCGGCCCTGCCCCACACCTTTCGTCCTTCCATACGCTCTCCCGTCTTGCGTCCCGGACTCCAGCTTCTTTCCGACCCGACCTGACCTGACCTGACCTGACCTGACGTCCCACTCCCTTCTCCTTCTCCTCCTCCGTCCTCTTCTGTCTTATTCCTGTTCGTCTGCCGCGGCTGCCTCGCTCGCTTTCTTCTCGTCGTCTTCATCCCATTTCATCCCATCCCATTCCATTCCATTCCGTCCGTCCCCGCCTTCCTTCCTTCCTGTCTTCCATTCTCTTCTCTTCTCTTCTCTTCTCCTCTCCTCTCCCCTCCTCTCTTCCTCTCTTCCACTCTCCTCCTCCTTCTTCTCTTCGGTTTCTCACCTCTTGACTTCATCTCATCTGAGCACCACTTTCTCCGGCTCGTCCCACATTTGTACTTGGTGCCGATAAAGAGTTTCAATTCGTGGCTCCGCTCGAGAGGGAGCGAGGGAGGGAGGGGTTCCGGGTTCCGCAGTGCCTGCTGTGCTGTATCCACGACCTGACGAGGAGCTTGTCGTCGTTCGAATTTTTTTTTCCCGCTCCTCGGAAGCACCACTGCGATATTTTTGGAGCCTGGGGAGCTCGTTTCTTACGCGTGCATCGGTTTTATATCTCGGAAGCTGGTTCATCGGGTTGAGGTTTGGTGTCTCGTCTTCTCGTTTGATCAGTCCAATCCACCTTACTGCTTCGATCCATGCATGCTAATTTCCGCAAACGCAATACTCCATATTAGGGCGATGAATGTGGACATGTGTCCTTGTTCATGAGTTCTTTTGACGGATTGATATCGTGTGAGCAAGTGGTTTAGCAAAATTTTCATTTTCTCTTGCCGTTCCACGGGGAGTTGTGCAATAAGATTTCTAAATTTGTACTGTTTGTCATTTGCAATTTTCCTTAACAATTGCTCTTTAGTGCAATTTCTATACTCTGCCTGTCTGTGTGACTTGGTGTTGTACATCACCGCCCGAAAGCTTCGGATGTAGTTTACAGTGGGACATACTATTCATTAGTATTTCCTGCTAGAGTTTGCATTCCACCTTGTGTTTGAATATTCTCCATGGCGCACGTTACCCATTGTTTTCTTTTGATGATCTCATGTCAAACCTGTTTTCCGGGCACACCTCTCCTTCTCATCTCCACAGTTTTGTCTGATCATGGACGCGGATATACGCTAGACAACTCCCTCATTGAGTGATTATCACGAGCAAGGCTCTCTTATATGAGTATTGTGTACAAGATGAGTCTATGGACTGATTCATGCCTGTTTTGAGTTCTCATTCTTTGGCGGTTAGACTTGGCTCTTACCCATCAGCGTGTGAATTTCTCTCGTGGCTGGCAGGACAGCCCTTGGGCACATCATGATTAAATTATTTAGTGTGAAACAAAAGCAAAAAGAAGCTGCTGAGAGTGCGAATGGACGAGCGCCTGTCAAGAAGCAGAGCCCAGGCGAACTGCGAGTGCAGAAAGGTAATTTTTATATGTCCTTGATTTTAGCCTTACGCATGGCAGGAAAGTTTTTCTGTTTTTCAATTTCTCTTTATGCCTGTGGTACTTAGAGGTCAAACGGTTTTGCAGACATAAGCGAGCTAAACTTGGCCAAGACCACGTCCATATCGTTTCCAAATGGGAAGGATAATCTGCTCAATTTCGAGATCACGATTCGCCCTGACGAGGGATACTACCAGTAAGCCCAACTGCAACTCCTTGGGCATTCAGTATTCGCCGTGCTTGTACTCTACTGTCCTGTGCTGTTGTATGTGAATCGGTTCAAATGCCAACCTCTTGTATTAGAGAGAGGGCGAGTAATATAGGACAATGAAGTGTGGCTCTAGGTCCTACTTAGCTGGCTGTAATCACGTTGGTTTTATCACGGTCTTTCTCACACGCGAGTTTTCTCTATCTCAGAGGTGGCACTTTCGTTTTTACTTTTCAAATCTCTCAAGTGTACCCGCACGAGGCTCCAAAAGTCAAATGCAAGACCAAGGTGAGGATCTTGTCTCAACCGCTACGTTTGCTTGGTACGAACATTGCAGTCTCCACCGATTCTTTTTGTGCTTGAAATTATGAGAAAATCATTGTACACAATACGTAGTCAACGCAAGCTGATGACTCGCGCTTACCAGGAATTCTTCGTTGAAGATCAATAATTGCAATGATCTATCCCCATCACGATGAATTTTCAAAAGATTACCCGAACCTTTCAGCCCAGGTTATAAACTCGTAGAGTCCATCTTTGGAATCAATGTTGACTACTGTAAAAAATTTGAAATGGCATGTCTTCATTCCCCGAAGCCTTGTTGCATAATCATCTACATAGTCGTCAGGCTGGAAGGAATGGTCCTAGATGTATGTTTCATATAAGGCCTGTCCATTTTAGAAGCTCTTGAAGCAGCTGTACGTGTAAGAATTTAGATGCCCTACGATTTCTTGGTAGAGTCACTATATTTTGTAAACAACTCTATGACCCCTCCCAATCATCATCTAGTGCAAGGAGGACAAAGTATCCGATACATATATTCGGGGTATACCCCTGAACATATATCCGAACAAGGAAGGATAGAGGGAGAAAATGTTGACCTTCAGTACGCCAGGAGTATCACAAATCCTGCCAATGTAGGGACATAAGTAGGAACTTATGTCCTTGTAGAGAAGGCGGCATGTACTCTTGCTCCACTTGTCCAGACTGGCCTGGTGGATAGATGTAACCCTTTCCGTAACCCATTTCTTTCATAAGCCTCGTTCGAGCATTGCGAAGATGCAGTGGAACGGTTCGTTGAGATGAGACTCCCTGACTAGCTTCTGCGCTGCTTCTATGACTTGATACGCCACAACGGATTTGCGAGCTAGAGCAAGATAAAACACACACTGGGCCAGGTTCACGTTGCATTCTGGCTTACCTAAAAAGTGGCTGGCTTGGTAGCATGCAACTGCGATTCCCAAGGTAACTGAAGTGCTTTATCGTAGGATATGATCTTCCATCAGAATGCACGTTTCTTGAGATTTGAGAGATTGGGTGAAGATGATGAAGCAATTCAAAATAAGGCTCACTCGCGGAGCTGATGATTTCTGCAATACACCTTGTTCTAGTTCTTATTGTTCTTGCTTTCTCATTCACCTACACTTATCCTCTTGGTTCTGTTCATTGCTATTTCTAAGCTATGTGGGAACCCCTTCAGGAAAAAATAAATTTCGTGATATGTAATTTTTTTGGGAGCGGCTAGTTATCCCTCAGTTTAGGCTAATTATCCGTCACTCTACTATACTAGGGTGAGGGATAATTAGCCAAGTCACCCAATTGTTCGGACAAGTTTGACCACTTGGGTCGGACATGTTCTCGATCGGGCCTTCCGGGACCGACCGAAGTCTGTACTTGGGCCCGTTATCTGGGCTACTTGGGCTCTCCAATATGACGTAATAGAGAAAATTGATGAGGACTGCGTGTGGATTTCTGTTTGGATGGAGGGCGTTTCTTGAACCTTCAGCAAGTCTGAACAAAGCTTTACATCATCTGTAACTTTCATCGATAGCCCGTGAATCGCACTATAAATGCATACCTCGACCTCGGGGTTGTGAAGAAATTCTAGACAGAAGTCCAGAGTGTTCTCCCGAAAGGCATGCAATCGCGTGCTTCATCTCGTTACGTCAACTCATTTCCATGTTCACGGATTGAACTTCTGAACGTTTCCTTTGACGAAATTTCTTGTCCTAGTAACGAGGAGTAAGTGAGGCACCTTGGCCGGATGTATGACCTTTGTATGTCAAGTTTGGACCTTGCGTTAATTATGTTATTTCGCTGTATGCTCGTGGCTTCTTCTCGAATACGTGAGCAGCATCACCTGTACTGGCTGAAACATCGAGGATGAGTGTAAGCTTCAGCAAAGATGATGGGGATTTGATTCCATGGGCAAGTCAGCTCACAGTTACAGCTATGATCGTTCAATCGTTGTAAGACAGTCCAATTGTGCTCGAGGAGTTGAACGGATGCATGTATCGAATGTTTGTGCATGATGTCGATGCGTATGATGGGTGGATCCTGACAGCATTATGTCTCGTGAAACTCAAGCCTTTGTTGATCCAGATTGAGGAGATTTCCATTACAAGATTGAACTCTCCAGGCCTGTTGAACACGCATCTGAACGGGCTACTTGGGCCCGTTCTCCGTGTACTCCGGTAGCTCTCATACAAACTTGGGTCGGTCCCGGAAGGGCCCGATCGAGAACTTGTCCGACCCAAGTGGTCTAACTTGTCTGACCAATTGGATGACTTGGCTAATTATCCCTCACCCTAGTATAGTAGGGTGATGGATAATTAGCGTAATCTGAGGGATAACTAGCCCCTCCCTTTTTTTTTCTAAGCTGATCACAGCCTCTGGACTCCTTTTCAGCGCCAGTAGATTCCAAGCGAGCACATCCTTTTAGAATCACCTTCAGTTGTTGCTTTTGCTACTTGAATTTCATAGACAAGTTTGTTCCTGTTGAGCGTTGCTTTTGCTGTTGTTTATCTATGTGCACTCTTTGTTGTCTTCTTTACTTCATCCTGTTCGCCCTGTGTAACTCTCATTCAGTTCATTGTCCGAACATGCCTGTGAAACCACAAACTGCGGCATCCGTAATTTCTCTACATTGCATTAAAGTAGGGTGCATGTCCATTCTCGATTGGAAGGAATCTTTGGTTTCTAACTTTGGAAACCGTCAGTTGCAACTCGATATTTATTCTTGTCCCTGCCCAAGAGATCCCTCAACGGGCCTGATGATATATTGGGAATGTCGGGAGCTCGTGGTCGGACACTCATTTTGTAATCTGGTTACTGGCTCCTGGATGTCTGTCCAACGCCAATAGAGGCCCAGCTAGTATATCCCACCTTCCTCGTTGTCCCTCCTTCCTCGTTGTTTTCTTGTGGCAAGCAACAATTTGTCTTCCCGTAGTTCCAAAAAGACTTCAGCAACGACTTGGACCAAGTATTAAGCTTCGAAGACTTGTACGTTACTTCTGCTGAGCGTTGATTGGCTGTTGCTTGTATGCACTTTGCCTAAGGTATAAACTGAGGTGGAGCTGTTACTCCTACGTTTGCACCAAACTGTCCGCGCAATGGAGAGAATGTTGCTATCTGCTGTACTATCCATTAAAGTTAGTATTTAAATTGAAGTTTGTAGACCGTTTTTCCTTTTCTTTCTTGCTCCTCTCTTCTGCCTTTGTTGGTGGCAAGTGGGTTGTCATATGCCCACGCATTCCACAATCTTTCTGTTGACTGGAGTTGATTTGTTTTGATTCCAACATTACGTTGATGACGTGGGAGCTAAAAGTCTCCAGAAGTACAGGAAACTCTTAAACCAGAGTTCTCTTGGCTACTTGTTTTAGCTTCATGTTGGGTTTGTCGTTCGTAAGTAGAGTTACACAGCTAACACATGATAGCCCCACAGCGCAAAACTTTGTACTTCTTTACAGTTTTGCTTTCGCTCTCTTGTGACTAACGTTGTTTCCCTTCGGATTTTATTCCTAATTCAATGAACTTCTACATTAAAATACATTAGAATTAATAGTCTTTTATAGATATCTTGTAAAAAATAAGTATCAAGGCCGTTTCATAATATATTATCAGAATTTGGCTGAACATGAGACGATAATCTGAAGCATATGTTTTGCTCCCCAGGATAAACGTCCTCTTATTTCTTTCTGTTTCTTTCTCGCTTTTGTTTATCTCCTCTCATCCCCGCTGTGGATATCTCCTTAGTTGAGCAATACCCGTCATTCAGTATGGCTGAATCCTGTTTGCACATTTTTCCTGAGTACCAGGGTCGAGTTCGTCCTTCCTCTTGCAGAATTCTGTTAAAGTTCTTTGTCTGGACCTTGAGTTAACTATCTTGCTCCTCCCTCACCTTGCATAAAGTTGATGGAGTCACTGTCACGAGAGCAAGTGTTGTAATTGATGCTTAACGGCCCCGATTATACCATTGGCCGCGGCGGTTCCTTTTTTTGTCATCCCGTTTGTTGCGTAAATTATCTGGATCACTGAAAGCAGTATTAGGATGGTACTGAGCGCACATAGCAGCCTGGAGGACCATTGTCAGCCATTTTGCAACTTTTAGAGTCTTTTCTGCATACTTATTGATCAGAATTTTCTGTCGTGTGTAATAGTAAGTCTTCTGGATTGTTGATCGATTCGCGACACATCATGTTTCTTTTCAATGCAGGTATATCACCCAAATATAGACCTGGAAGGGAATGTTTGTCTGAACATTCTCCGAGAAGACTGGAATCCAGTTCTTAGTGTCAATTCTATCATATATGGGCTGCAATATCTCTTTCTGGTAAGGAGAGTTTATCTTTCTTTCTCTTTTGGGATTGAAATTTGGTTCTTGCCCTGACGCAACTTCATTGTAATTTGTCTTCACTTCAACCCATTTGGTTTTTATTGTTGAGAGCCTTAAACTTACATATAATTATCGACGTAAAATCGCACGTCGCAGGATCCAAATCCGGATGACCCTCTGAATCATGAAGCAGCTGAAGTTCTGAGGGAGAACCCTAGGCAATTTGAGAACAATGTAAGAAGATCGATGGCTGGAGGCTATGTTGGAGGTAACCATTTTCCAAGATGTATCTGATGCGCTCATGAGCACTGTCACACTAAATAGGATAATTACAGGAATTTGTGTCTTGCTACATTTGATTCTCTTGTATCTTTGATACGTCAGTAATGCATTCGTAAGGTTGCGGTCAGGTTCTTATCCTTCCCATACCCAATCGACTCGCATTGTACGACATAATCTTTGTAAAGAAACTGGTGTCTGCCTAATGGCGCATCCATCTAGGTGTACGTGCTTTCATCATCTTCAACCTGTTTGGATTTATATCATCATAAATTTCAATGACAGCTTTGGCTGTCCTCACTTTTAGCCACTCAATGGCCCGTCTTCTATATGCGCTGATGGAAGTGACTGTAGTAATTGACGTGGTAGTTCTGTTTACCACGCTTCACAAGATTACAGTAGATTGAAAGATGTTAATTGGGTTTCAAGGTTGTTTTCTGATGGTTCTTTGTCCATCATTGATCTTTGTACTTGAAATTTCATATTTTGATCACTACTTTCATTTCTTGCATCGATGTACACTTCTTCTTTGATATAAGAGCAGTTTGGTCAGATGAGGCTTTCTTGTTTCTATGAAAGCTGCTTGGTTGTCTTCAAACGCTAAGCGGTATCTAGCGGGTAAAAGGTTCCGTTTTTCGTACTGGCGCTTATCTCAGTCTTTATTTTTCTCCGCAGTCAGTCGAAAAGTGCACTTGTGACTAATTCCTGAGGGCCCGGGATGATACTCGGCGGTAAGGTCGTTGGTTTATACAAATAGGTGACTTCCTGCATGGGCCTTTTCAGATCGTGAGCTTGCCTAGTGAGTCAATAAATTTTAACAATTGGCAAAAAATATATTCAAGTATGACAATTCGGAAGCGAATGCAGACTTAGGCTGTCTTAAGTGTAGTGTACAGAGCATTCGCGGTGTTGCTTTAGATCGTATCGCCAACAGATTTCTAGTATTTCAAATCGAATCTATAAAGGAAGTTTTTCCACAGCTGTTTTCGGCGTCACTACACTCTCGTGGTTATTTCTTTTATTCTAGTGAATTGTGATGGCATGGTTTCAATTTTGCAGCTGTCGAGCTGCACCTAAGGTCAATTTTGTGTATGAGAAAGAACTTGATTTGTGCTCGGAATATTTTTGTTGCAGCGACAACAGGGTTGGTAGTGGTTAGTTCAGTGGCCTGAATGGTATGGATGAAGGTTACGTGTATGAATCAATTTGCATCTAGCTTTTCCAGTGATCAGTTCTTTCGCTGAGTCTGACAGTTCATGGCCAGTATTGGAATTTGTGTATGTTCTCAGTATCTACGATGTTTGATGCGTGATCTTAATATGATGAACAGGACCAGGAGCCTTTAAATAGGTTCCCCATATGCTTTGTTGGGCACTGTGGCTGTTCGGAATGAGATGATTACTTGACCAGAGAGCCAAAGTTTGAATTGGAGAAATATGGTAGATAGGTACCGTGAAAGGGAATCGCGAGCCATCTTTGCATGTCACGACTTGTGGATTCAACTACATCTTGTCTAGTTAGTACACGGGTAGTGTGAGACGTGTCACCAGACGGGTCAGTCTGTCCGTGATCGGTGAATGCAGACTGAAGATGATGGTGGAAGTGTACAGTGAGGTATGTTCTCATCTAGATGTCCTACTTCAATAGCGTGTCAAAAGAATTTCTGTATCCATTGCAGACAAATTCCTACAATATACTACACTATCATTGAGCTAGATGCTTCTGTTTCATTGATACGCACTTAGAGAACATCTTCCAAAGCGTCATTGAGTCACGCACTTATGTGAAATGTAAAAGTGGCTCTGAAGGCTGGAACTGTTTTAACCGTCAGATGCAGCAGAAACAATATCGGAACCGAATGTCGTCAATGCTTGAGGCAATTGTGGTTCATGCTCAGTGATTCCATATTTTATACGCAACGACTCTTGATGAAGAATTGTGAGCCGAAATGAGACCTGGAATCTTGGACACCTGGTGACGAATCTTACGATCGAAAACTACCCTGGATGAAACAACTATTAATCCTTCGCGCAGGACATCGAGGTGAACCTTATACATGTCTGGCTTTCAACAAGTCACTGTTGGAGAATGTTAGAAGTTGGTACGAGGCGCTGCCCAATACCAAGCGACGTTTTGCGGGATGGCCAAACAGTTCGAGATTCCATCCTCCAAGGACGAGAAGCAAACACATGAGCACTGAAGCTATGTAATCAGGACAAGTTCACTTTACAAAGTAGTCAATTTAAAACACATGGAGGAAACGCAAATCAAATACTTATGATGTGAGGAAGCTATATACATAGAAGGAAGATCGGGTGGATACAGGAAATATATTAGAATAACGCGACACGGTAACTAAATCTGTGTATGTAGGAGATGGATTATGGTCAAACGGAGTGTGAAATTTTCATGTAAAGAGTTGCAGTAAAATACGTGAGAGACTGTACTTGCCGTCATCATCATATGTTCACATTGTAGTATTTGCTTGTTGAGTGGGTTACATGTGTCGGAATGGGTACGGAAGTCTTTCATTGGTTGGAATGAAGATCCCAACCAATGAAGCTTATCGGTTGCGATTGAACTACATTACAATGTGAAGATGTATCAATCTTTGAATAACAATTATGTATATAGTTTCTCAAAAGTAGGTTAATCAGAAATTGTTAAAAATTAATCATTACATTTTGTACTATTTTTCTTGCAATATATTTTAAAAATAAATTTCTACTTTCAATTATAGATATTGATTCTTATTAGTATCATATTTAAAATTACAAATAATCAATACAAAATTTCTGTTCTGAAAAAAATATATATTGTAAAAAAAATATAAATTTACAATAATGCTGTCTCATAACTAAATGCAAATATCTTTAAGAGCAAATAAAAACACAATTGATTAGCAAACTTGCAAAGAACAGAATTGAGAGAATATTCGTGTGAATTATCATGTCTCCTTGACTACAATATATTACAACGAAATTTATAGAGAAGACAGTTAGATGATCTTTTACAACAAAGTAGATGTTCAACTAAAGCATGCATCATCAAGTCTAAATACATATTTAGTTGTAGATATTTTATTGTCTAGACGTTTTTCATAATCAACTTCAAAGTATCACAATAAGAATTTGATATTTTTTAATAAATTATCAAACAATATACTATAAATATTAGTATTTTTCATGTATTTGAAAATTTATTTCATTACTTTCTAATGCAATTTTTCCAAAATTTAACATGTATTTGCTCATCTTGATTATAGATAGAGCAATATCAGATCTTCTACACATACAACTTTGTCCTAAACATGAATCAAAGCGGAGATGATTACAATTTAATTCAGATCTTAATTGACTCTGGTTAGTTTGAGTATGATGATTGGATTATTTAAGATTATATAAGAGATCTCAAATAAACTTCTAAGATATAATATAGAATCTTCAATGTAATCATCTATGTATCAGGTGTACATGGGATTGTTGAGATAAACCACACTTTTTCTAAGTTGATCATTTTGAGGATCTTGTCAGTGTGACTATGAATATTTACAAAACATTTCCAGTATCTTTATCTAAATTCCAAAATACTAGAAAATTGTTTTAAAAATGAATTTATGTTTTGATTGTATATAATTATGTAAGTGTATTTGAAGATTGGAAATTTGACTTGCAACAGAAATCGAAATTTTTGTTGCATGTAAATAAAGTAAAATTTCAACAACTTTAGAATAACGTGTTCTTTATTATATACTACTTTATATTTAATGGATACTTTGAATATAGAAAGATATGGATCCTCAATATTAGGTCTGGCCTTTCATATATTTAGATCATATTAAACTCTAGTACATCACAACAAAGGTATGCAATGCATTGAAATCTAGTTCTAGATGCTAGCTTGGAGAAGAGGTGTTGGTTTATAACACTTCAGCAGCATTTAGTCACAAATTTGCCTCTAATCTTACCTAAAATTTACCATATCTTACCATCCAGTCGCTTTCGTGAGGGGTTACTTTAGTTTGTTCTCTATGACATAAATCGCAAAATATGGGAGATGTTATATTTAAGTTACAAATTTTACATCGCGTATCAGTACAGTAGAAGGCTTGCAACTGATAAATCTTCAAGGTAAGAACATCATCATCAGTACATCATATTCGTTATGAAGACAAGTTCTAAATGAAAGCTTTTACATACGTATATCGTCAATATGGAGTTCGAAAAAAAATTGTGCAAAGAGCATAAGAATCTGATAGCGAAGTGACATAGTGGAAAATGTACTCTAGTTGTGCGAAATCTACAGCAGCAATTACCCATGCAGTCACCTCTAACAACCGAACATAAATATAAGTAGCACCCTTACCTCAAACCTAAATCCTTGTATTGTTTTGGTCTTATCTCAATTAGAGGGATGCGTACCCTACAACGTGTAGCAGTGGTCCACTAAGTAGGGTTGGAGGCACAGCAAAATATTTTGAGTCATGCCTATTCCCCATTTCACGGTAAAAAGGCATGACCCATGCCTGCCCGTATTGAAATACGTACATTTGATGTATTTGAAAATGTACATCTATGAAAATAAAAAATTTTTAGAAGTAAAACGGTTGAAAAGTTCCATAATATACGAATTAATTTCTTTGTACATACAGGCATGCCCACGCCCCGGGGCATGCCCCTTGAGGCTAAGCGAGTCGCTTGAGGCTGTGCCTCCAACCCTATCCACTAGACTCATTAATATGTCTACAATGTAGAGAAACATGATCCGAATGGAGATGTAGTCTAATGTTCCTATGTACAAAAGACTTATCTGCTCTGTGTACATTAAAGACAAGGTGTCGGTGCACTGTTTTGTTTAATTTATCTTGAGTTTTGATTTAGGCATTTGTGCTCTATCAAATGTGAGATTTCATATGTAGGAGATGGTCAAATTCAGCCCCCAGTTGTTAAAGTAACCCCCGGTTGCTTGTTCTAAAAAAACAAAACTTCTAAGCAAATCTCTCTCTCTGATTCTCTCCTCATCTCCCTTGACCACTGCAAGGGAGATGTTTCTGTAGCCAAAGAGAGAGGGGGACCGACCACAAACAAAACATGCAGAGCTTTAATCTCCCATTCACTCCGTACATCCTCAAGCATTTTGGGTCTGAGAAGTAATTTACATTTCACCTCGATATACATCCCACTTGACTTCACTTTTTTCCATGTGATACCAAAAGGTGAGGGCTTTCTCGCTCACACGAATATTAGATTTACAATCCCCTCCATATATCTATACATGTCACACATATATACAATACTTATCAAACGGGCAAGCTTGCATGTTTGATCATGCTTACAGTGACAATAGCAGAAGTTCACACTCGTGAGCTGACCGAGCAAATAAACATCTGCAGCTTCTGAATCTGAGATGTTTTCATCCGGTTCGGATTTAGATGAATGCGACAAGAAGTCTATATATGATAAATGAAAGCAAGAGAACATGATCATGCTGAAAGACTAATTCAAGATCAACTCAAGGGAGGGAGAAACCACCACAGCTCTTTCTGCCATAGCCTGCATGAGCTCAGCTGAGGGGAACACACCGTAGAAGAAATCTACTTACCCAGTGACAACAACGCGTCCCACCATTGGAAGAATGGACTCGGGTACTGTGGGGTCGACATGACAAACAAAGCGAGTGTACGCATTTCTTTCTTTCTTCCTCTCTTGGGAAGCGTATTCTGACGCTGGAATTGTCTTCATATGCTTCACAGGCAAGCTGCACAGTAAACCCCTGCCTTCATCCTCACGAAAATCTTTCTGCAGCTGTTAACCAGCAGTCAACGTAACTCTCCAAATGCAAATCAAAAGGAAGGGGAAATGAGCCGACAGTGATAACGAGACAGGCTCGTGGGGCCTCACTGCATTGGTTGCTTGCAACTGTGTCACGGCTAGGAAGAGGATGCGGATGCGTGATCCTGGATTTGTACCCTGAAGAGCCTTTCCACATGTTGGTGAGGTCATGAGTGGGTTTTAAAAGCTTGGAGGTTTTGAGAAGCATGGACTTTCTCTTCTATCGGTCGAGAACTCCTGTCCTTGGTCAACTTCAGGACCACTTCCTCTGTTTGCGCTTTGGGGCAGGCGACCACCGTCGAATCCGAACGAAGTGTGACTGCGCTGTGATCCTGTTCACTACAAATATCTGTGGCCCCGATTCCAGTCCCAGGGTGGAACCCACTCATTGAGACCTTTGCGTGGACGCAGTCAATGATGAGATTCTAAATCGAAATGGCATCATCGAAAGGTGTAATAAACGCGTCGTCTTCTTTCTTCTGTTATTCGAACTGCAAATATGTATTGGCTTCAGTTTCTGCATATGTATATGTATAATACGAAGGTTACCTCTCATGTACTGTATACGATATAACAGTTACTGTTATGGGAGCTGGAAGACAGTTGCAGTTCGGTCGCCGTAGATCAGAACATCATTCTTAGAGCACCATCGTACAAAGTCTAAACATAAGACAAATCGAGACCTTCCGTGGCAGAAATCTGGATGGAACGCACCACAGTCGGATTTAAATATTCTAAAGCTCACAGTTAGTGGGATCCTGGAACATAAGGACGACAAATTCAGCGGGAAATCAATCATCTGATGTTTGACCAGGCCAGGGCAGGATGAAAACGTGTGCTGAAACGAAGTTACAACTGATCTCGTACGATCTCGTGTAAGTGTACTCATGATTCGAATTGGTACATGCTGGATTGACAGGATAAAGTAGAGCAAGGAAGCAAGCCCACGTTCAGCGTATTCTGCTCGACAATTTTTGGTGAAAAAGATAAGATCATGTACACTGACCAAGATCTGCAGATCGCTGTCGTGCTGAAAAGTGCGTCCAAATTCGAAAGAGAGTATTATTATAACTAAGGTAAACAAATTTCCCTTGCTGACCTTCTATTAGTTCCAACTGCAAGTTAAGTTTCGATTTTGTGGCTACGTTGATCAACCGCAACCTTTGTCGAGCCTTCATACGAATGTTATGCTGGAGGCTACATCATCAACCGATTTACTGTCGATGGTTCTGGTCTGTACAAACGAGAAGCAGGACTACAGCGCCGTAGTAGAGCCAAATCCATGGATCCAGCCGCTGCCACAGGAACCTCGACTGGATGCTTACCGGGAGCTTCCGACTGAAAACCTGCTGGTGCGAACGAACAGGAGCTCATCTCGAACAATTCACCCGTGAGGCCGACCTTTGGGCTCTACTAAGACGATGCTCGGGTGAGGTATTCTTGGCTAGAATAGAATGGAGGCCTTATGGAACAATTGGATCAGTGCTATCTCCACCTGCCGAGGACGACGGACAGAAAGGACCAATGTTGTAAGTCAGCAGACGAGCTGAAAGTGCACTCTAATTGAAAGCGATTGCACTGAAACATACCCTTATTGTCGGCTATCTCTCACACCTGAACTCACCAGAAGTTCCCTTATCTGGATGGATTTCATGTATGTCGCTCTGACTCCAGAATTTTCAAAGATCAGGGATATGATACTGAGCTCACCAGCATTAATCTTGGCAATAGCGTCGGCTATCACAATCGTGTTATCTCAGGACTGGCGTATATTGTCCTAGTTGGTTAGGCTGCCAGGTGCATTTTCAGGTAGCCTTACACTGCATGAATCAGAAGAAACTTTGTGGGTTTCAGAAATTCGCTTCTGCACGCGACAGATGAGAATATAGGCCTAATTCCGATGGAGCAATATGGAGTCACCTCATGTGCAGCAGATACGTTCTAGCTCCGGAGAGCAGGGCAAGAGCATTTCTACCTACCGCAAGTGATCCTTGTCCATTTCCTATTCTACTTTCACCGGTGGACCAGCTATGAGATGGGTTCGTATGTTGATGTTGTTCTCACTGGAGCTCATGCAGATTTCGAGAGGAAACGCAGCGTTACCTCCTGTGGAACGTAAGTTGTCATCTTCCCTCACTTCGTGCATTTGCTTGTCCAGATCTTAATTACAGTCTTCTTATCAACGTACCGCGTCTCTCGAGCTCAGTCATACTTCATGGCTCTGCAGCTCGCTCGATTCTAATTCTCCAATTGGTGTCATTTTTATAGTAAATGCCGTCGAGGTTTTGCGCGATACGTTTCATCTGTCCAACTGGACAGGGGACCCGTGCGGCAACGTGACTTGGATTAAGTGTTCTGGGATCACAAATTCAAAAGTCGAGACACTGTAAGCACTCATCCCAGAGTGGCTATCTGACCATAGTCAAGACCTCGTTGGTAAATCGTTCTGAAGAGAGGAGAATTATGGCCTAAGGATCGATAATTTTGCACCGATTGAGGTCATTATGTCGTGTGGCAGGGACTTGACAAGTTACAATCTCACGGGAAACTTACCAGCGGAAATTTCGAATCTGCAGAATCTCTTATACCTGTGAGTCACCTTCCCCTTTCTTATGCTACACATGAATCGCAGAGACAATTTCATTTGCTGGCGAAGCGATCGACCCAAATGCATGGTTTAGTCCGCATCCCATTCTGCTACTTGGAGATGTTCGATCAACAGAGAATGAGCACGAAAGGAAGGAAGAAAGGACGCACGGACGGCCGGGCGAGGTCGACACGGAGTCGATTCACTCGACAGAAGCAGAGTCGACCACGTCGAAGATTCTCGCTCGTGCTTTAAAGTCAAACGAGCTGACGTTCGAATTGACAATCACATTGGACCTTGCGGTAGACCCAACTGCAGCATCATGCATTCCCACGTACTAACTCACTTTTACTTGCTGTCACAGACTTTTGGCAGACAATCCCCAATTGAGCGGGCCCTTACCAGACCTCAGTGGACTCAGTCTCATGCAGATATTGTAAGAAATCTTAACATAGCCTTCTTACTGTACTCTCACACACGTCACTGCACTTGTCCGCTTTATCATCTTGTTATAATTAAAGTTTCCTTTTTATTCATGCTCGATTAAATTAGCTTTCCGAGTCTGGGTACTGATGATCCTTTCTGATTCTTTCTGATTCTGTACTATGGTCTGCGCAGTAATGCAAGGAATTGTTCTCTAACAGGCAACATCCCGGATCTCAAGACTTCGAATTCGCTGTCGACTCTGTACGTTATTCGTATATCAAGTTGATCTGACCGGCCGGTCATTTCGTGCTAGATTTGTGAATTCATGCGCACTGGACCACCACTGCTATTTAAGGTCTTAGAGCCAGCCTAGAGCCGCAGCTCCAGATTCGCTTTCGTAGATCCATTGAGCATTGTTTCCTCGATCGAGACATTCTTTGCCAAGTTCCGCTCAAATTGGAAGCGTTGAACATTGCAGGGATCTGCAAATGAACGATTTCCATGGATCGATACCTGCTGGTCTGTTCCAAGGGAATATTCGATACATGTAAGTGATCGTATCATTCTGCTGATAAAAGATGCCGTCCCCCCGCTAAATCTGGAGGACATGGACAAGATAACGGAAATGGAAGCTTAAGAGTACATACATAGGAATGCCTTAATTGACGCCAGCCTTGGTCACTAGCTTCGACATCCCTCACTAGCGAGTCATCGAGGTTTATCTGAGTAAGTTCTATGTTGTATCCTTGACTACTTATACATCCGAGTTTACGTTGTCTGTCAATAGTTAAATTGGTCAATGACATTGAGTCTGAGAACCTCCTCATTTCTACTTTACTTCTGAGAGACAGAAGTCATCTGGGATTCATGATACGTCAATTTAAGGACGTCCACAACATGCAGAATCTGATTCAAATTGTTAAGTCTTGCAGGTACTTGAATGACAATCCTCATCTGTCCGGAGGAATCCCAAGCACAAGTCCACTAACTGCCATTGAAAACTTGTGAGCCACTTACGAACTCATTTGCTAAGGTGTTCGGAACATTTTCTATGAGACTATATATTGATATGTTTCAGGTACAAATCTAGGTTGAAGTAGAAAACGTTATTATTCTGTTCTGTATTTGCTTTGTTCTGAAGCTTGTACGTCTACAGTGGGTTACAAGACTGTAATCTAAGCGGGAATGTGCCTTCTTTCAATACAGCTACGAATATGGAATTTATGTAAGTTTCCACCATCTTTTCTTGATAATATTCCGGCTTCCTGTTGGACATGAAAGGAAAAATTCAGGATTGTTGGAAGACAATCTGTATCAAAGATTGCAGTCTTGAGGGTATAGCAAAGGTGCACTTTATCTTGAAATTAACTATTTATCTTTATTTGGCTAAGAAACTAAATAACTATATTCAGCTACCCATATCAGATTTCAATTTCGCCTTTTATGTTATAAATTTGGTAATTCGTTGTATGTATTGTCAATGTTGGTATGTCACAGTGGTTGTATGTGAATAGATATTTGCAGAACAACCGATTGACATCATTCCCGCCTGACTTGCAAATGCTGACGCAATTAAGGCAGATGTAAGTAAATCTTGACATAAGTGTGCTCAGAAATTGGACAACTCAAAGTTTAAAGTGTACACGTTTTTCCAATTCTAGAGTTTAGTGCTACTATTTGAGTGGACTGTAACTGTTACATGTAAGCTGACCGAATCCTCACTTGATGGTCGCAGTCATCTTTACAACAATGATATAACCGGAAATTTGCCAGATCTTCCTGCAGCTTCATCTCAAGGAACAGACCAAAACTATGTTGAATGGCTGTAAGTGTAGGTTGAAAGCTTTCAGCATATTATCTTTGATGCGCTTGTCTTTCAAAGGGTTTTACATAAAAAATCACGTGACTTCGTACCTTTCGGTGTATATCTTCATCTCTGCGAAAAAAATGTTGAAGTCAAGGGCAGCCCAGATATAGGCAATGATGTGGTTTACGTTTCCTTATTTGATTAGACTCTTCAGCAACAACCAGTTTTCTGGAGAGATTCCAAATTCTTGGTATCAACTTACATATGTTCAAGGAATGTAAGTGTATTTTCCCTACATGATCTAAATGCTGTATGAATGCTTTGCTGCGCGTATTGTACAAAGTCTCTGATGTTCTGAATAGCTCCAGGTCTGACACCATAGCTTTCAATCTTTTATACATAGTCTAAAGTGTACCAAGCTGCACATATATATATATATATATATATATATATATGTTTATATGCACATATTCATAACCTGCTAAAAATTCTGATGCTCAAATTTTGCCACTTGGATCAGGCTGCTCGATTACAACAACCTGAGTGGAAGCATACAGAAAGAGATTGGTAATCTCTTAAACGTGAAACAGCTGTAAGTCGAAAAATAAAGCCTTTCTTAGAAACTAGACACCTCAAGATTTGTATCCATGAATAGAAAAGTTGCCACAGTCTATTTTAGGTTCCACAGCGTACAGTTTTTCCATCGCATCTTGATTAGAATTGATTTCTTACGAATAACGTGGAGTGCTCATATATCGCTCGAAATTTTTTTGCACTAGTTGTTAAAACTGCTTGGTAACGTACCCAGAAGTTACTCATGTGTCAATGCTATATTTGCTACTTATCAATCTGTTGATGACTCTCATTCCGAAACGCAGAAACCTTAGTCACAATCACTTCTCAGGACCGATTCCAGATGAATTTGGCAACCTTAACAAGCTTGAAATATTGTGAGTGAGAATGCTCTCTCACTTCCTCATTCTGTGAAGAAGATCTCAATTGGTTTTCCATTTATCTTCTCAATATGCTGAGAGAAAGGTTCATATCATGAACTGTAGAGACATGCATGATTTTACACGTTCACAAAGTGTGACCAATATCAGAAGACTTGGGCCGCTCTAAGGCATATCTTTCATCGAAGAAGCTCTGAAGTGAAACTTTTGAATGAGAAACGACACGAATTAATCGTCGGGTGAAGTAATGTCTATTATCTTCATTGCCCCTTTAATCACAGTATGTACATAGTAATTGCATGAGATAGTTAACCTTGGAAGCTTACCTACGCTTTCCGAAACTTGACAGGGACCTCAGGAATAACCAATTCAGCGGCGCTGTACCTCTGACGCTTGCTAAACTTCCGAACCTCAAAGCATTGTAAGTTGCTACTGCAAAATTTAAGTTGCTACTCAGAATTATTGTGTTGATGGTGTACTCTACCTTCTGTGTTTGGCCGTGCTAATGTGGTCATATTTGAAACAATCATTTATTCCAAATCCACCTACAAGAAGTCTTTTACTTTCTTCACTAGACCTGGTTATCGGACCTGGTCCGATAACACCGACTCGGGTCCACTTTCAATTGCCCTCACGTTATTGCATGTGTGTTCACAGAGTTTTTTTTGTGCAGGTGGCTAGACAATAACAACTTTACAGAAATACCACAAGTTCTGAGAGACAAGCTAGGCTCTAACATGACGTAAGTTGGCACCGCTCGATCTTGCCTTTTCCATGATGCAGAGGTGTGGAAGTAGAGGGAAGCTACTGATTTAATTTGGCATTTATCGTCTGCAGCTATGACTCTAACGTCAAGATCATAGGTGTATCGTCGAAATCTGGTCTATCAACTGGAGCACTTGCTGGAATTGTAGTTGCAGTCTTCGGATGCATCTTAGCGTTTGCAGTGTTGGCTTTCATACAGAAAAGGAGGAGGATGAAAACTGGTGAAGATCAGGTATCCAAAGGTATGACTTGTTACAGCTCATTATTTAGAGGCGAATTTATTTCGGCCTGTTTATTTCGGATGTTTCTCAAGAATGTTAATAGAAGTCCACATGATGTTCTTTCCAGTTCAAATTATCTCATCGATTATATTAATACAGGGGACATGCCAAAGTCAGCCACGAGTTTTCCGTTGAAGACTATCAAATCCATAACTCAAAACTTTACGACTTTGATCGGGAAAGGAGGGTTCGGATCGGTCTACTATGGGAAATTATCAGACGGCAACGAGGTAGCTGTGAAAGTCAGGTCGCCAGACTCCAAACAGGGAGCAGATGAGTTTCTGAACGAGGTGAGTCGAATAATTCAGAACTGCATTCCATGAGTAGAAACTTTACATGAAGATGAAAACTGATCCCAAAAGCTTTAATGGAGCAGCGGTGAAACTACCGCTGAATAAAGGAAATGAGACGCATGAGTCTCATCTCTCTAAACCAAGTCAAGAATTACATTGACAGGTGCTTCGTCTGGTTTGGACAGGTCCGACTGCTTTCCAGACTACACCACCGGAGTCTCGTATCTTTGGTCGGTTACTGTCTAGAAGCGCAGCAACAGATCCTCCTGTACGAGTACATGGAGCAAGGCACTTTGCACGATCATCTCTACCGCTCAGGTTCAAATCTCCCAAACATTCAGCTAGATGTGGTGGATGGCTTTCAATGATCATCAGACAGAGGAGGGCTCCGCACGGTTTCCTATGGGCGTAGATCTCAGATAAAGCACGCCGCGCTCCATATATACATTGTTGAAGAAAGCCTAATTTTAAATCTCTGGATTGACGCTTTCAGGATCTAGCTCCAACCCGTCAACCAGTACAATGTCATCAAATAGCTCATCAACACTACGTGAGATTTTGAGCTGGAAGAAGCGACTAGAAGTTGTGATCGAGGCTGCAAGAGGTAAGTTGGCTACATCTATTGACAGCGCGATCTTATCAATTGGATTCAGATAAATGACTCTTTATGAAGTTGGACTCGGTCGGCCACTGAACGCCTGCTAATCTGATTACTTCTCCTCCTCCACCTGCAAATGCTGTACGCGTACAGGGCTTGAATATCTGCACAAGGACTGCAAACCGCCCATCATACATCGGGACGTAAAATCGGCGAACATCCTCCTCGACGACAGACTACAAGCAAAAGTCTCAGATCTGGGGATTTCCAAACAAGCGCCTGAGCTAGATACAGAGGAAGCATTAGTTTATTCTGGAATGGGAGTATCCACGGTGATCAAAGGCACCTTCGGATATATGGATCCTGAGTACGATTGATCATGGGCTCCTTTTCCTAGTGTTATGTTATGTTTACGTGTGCAAACCTGACTTTGTGGAGAATATATACAGATAGTTTGATTTCCTTCAAAGCATCCAACTAGACTCAGACCGTGCGTCATTCAATGAACTGCAGGTACTACAGTCGACGTAGGTTGACCATCAAGAGTGATGTATACAGTTTCGGCGTGGTTCTTCTCGAGATCATCACTTGCAAAAGGCCCCAGACCCTGAGGTTTCCTGGAAGCGCCGCGACAACGTTGACAGAGTGGGTAAGATACGCACCAACCTCTGTTATTCTCATTACTAGCTATGAATGGGAGCTGGAGCGGACGGAGCCACACTGTACAAATTCATCACTTAAACCGAAGCACAGTGTCATGTAATGCGTGCTGTGCACAAGCGACAATGTGATCCATATATACTTGCAGGTCTCATTCATAACCTTTCAGCAGACAGTTCCAAAGCTACTGTTCTCGTACTCTAAATCACGAAACTGGAAGACTTTCAGTTCTGAGAATTCGTCGGCGTGGGCAGGTACTAGATGCAGTGAACGCTAATGAGGTCGAGTCTATCGTCGATCCGTTGCTGGGAAGTCAATATGACAGAGAGAGTGTGCTAAGCGTCGCCCGAATCGCCTTATCGTGTCTGCATCCTGAAGGCGCACAAAGGCCAAACATGGGTGACATTGTGCGCACTTTAACTCAAGCGCTGCAAATGGAAGGAAGGTACACGGACAGTTCTGTACCTGCTGCCATGGACGATGAATCTGAGGACGCGAATCTGAACTCAGTGTGCAACTGAGCTCAACGAAGTGCACTAGCCTCAGCTCGTCTTACATTCGTGGAGACTTTCGTACATCTAGGAACACATTACGGAGATAACATGCGGCTGCACTACCGCGTAAATCTCTTGCATTTCGTTAGCCTTCTTGTACTTTGGATACAACTCCTTGGGGTTCATAATATATTCAAAATTCGTGTAAAGTGGAAGCATTGTTTGGAAAGGTTGTGATTCTCGGATAATTGCTAGTGTTCTTTTAATCAGCTCTTTAAAGTTTCAGAGAGAAAACAAATTTCATAATAATGTGAATAGAATTTTAATTCTTTTTATCATATATGATATGAATAAGTAATTTAGATAGTTCTTCCTATTGAATATTCTTTCTCATATATTGTATACGAACAACAAGAAAATTTTGATTTCTCAATTTAATATCATGCATATGAAATTTTAAAAATGATTATTTCTGAATTTTTATACATTAATTTTAAATAATATTTTTTTTTTAAAAAAAGAAATATTTGTAGAATAATTCTCTTATGGCTTTTATGTTCAAATAAAAAATTTGTCTTAGAAAATTTTAAAACATAAATGCATACATGAGAAAAGTTTATGATAATTTAGTTTTGTAACAATGATACATTCATATCTTTAATCTGGAATTTATATTTGAAATATTTAGCAGTATTCATACATCATATTCACCGTGTTTTACGTCCTGGATCATTAGATAAAAATCCAAGAACAAAAAAATTAACCAATGTGTAAACATATTGTTAAATGAATGTATTAGTATACACAAAAGTTATAGAAAGAAATAAGATTGTTGTAACTGTTGATTAATCTAAATATTTTATCTTAAATGACAAGTTAATTGGTTTTTGCATATATAAACGCTTTATTCATTGTTTACTGAATTAAATATTTCATTTGCGTAAAATTGAAAATTTTATTATTCAATTTTTCATGTATGCATATGGATCAAACACATTTCATAAAAATTTATATGCTTTGATGAACTCATCAAACATTGCAATCAATACATATGATAATTTTAATAATTAAATATTTTTTTCTTCATCTTTTTATTCAAATTCAATTGATTTTTTTATGTAAATTTATTCTTTTAAATAACCATTAAAATTAAAACATTATATATATATATACATACATATGATCAATGATAAAATATTGTAACGAATATACATAGAATTCAAATTATAATATATTTTGTTACTAATGATATTATTTTATTATAATCCAAAAAATTTTCTAGTATGAAATCTCTTGTCATCAATCTGACTTTGAAGATTATTTTTATCTTCAAAGTAAGATTATTCCTTAGTAATTTGTTTAGTTGTCTTTCAATCTGTATTAACATTTAAAATAAATTAGAGTTTAATTCTTTGGAAACTTCACTAGGTTCCGTTCTTGTTATCCATGAACCATTGCATTTCATTATACTCAAGTTTGTTGATGGAATTTTGTAATTTTTTATTAGTGAAATTCTTCTTTATTCCAAAAGGGTGGAATGCCATCAATATATATATATATATATATAAATCACAATCTTCAAGAATCATTAATTCGTGTGTAAATTATATACCACAAGATCTATATAAATCCAATTTGATGATTCTAGTAGGCAATTCTTGTTAATCTCCATTATCTAACGTAGTTATTTAAGTACCACAAAGTATTATTTGCGCGCAAATCAAATCAAATAATGATGAATTTACTATCTGTCAATAACGTTTGTGGATGGAAATTTTCAGTCGTAATTATATGAAAAGAAAGAACTCTGTTTCTATTTCAAAGATATGAATTTATTGAAAACAATAATATTACTAATAATAATAAAATAAACTATTGAATTTCATAGTCTATAACACTTCACACCATTAGTATATACAAGAAAACAACACCTGATATTTTACTTAGATATGAAAGTGTAAGTCGTATGAAAAGATAATATGAAACCATTATAATTAACTAATTGCACTAGAAGAATAATTTGTTACCGAATGTTCTACAGTGTTGATTAATTTAGCCTAAAATTCATACAATAAATCAAATTTGCTCTACATATTGCACTTATTCCTCAACAAAGTTTGATTTATGTTCTCAAAGTTAACATTTTGTTGTTGTGTATAAACTGTGAACGTTACACTATTCTTTATAGTAATTTGGAAACTCTTTAAAAATATACTTCTTTCCATTTTCTTTATGTAAATTTTGCATATATTTTCTAATCTAAATATTAACTTAAAGCTTGTCAAATTTTAAAATTTGAAAAAATTTCAGATTTTTGTGTGAGGAAAGAAAATCATATTTTTTATATCATATCATAAAGTGGTATTTTTAGAAAGTATCCACACACATCATTACGTATATACTCAAATAATCTATTGAAACGGTGAGTTTCAACATCAAAATCTTGTTCAAAATCATGATTTTAATAACACAATATTCACTAATCTCTAAGTCAATTCGAACTATGTCAAGTAATAAATCTATGCTAAAGTATATTCAACACCTATGGTCTTCATACACAAATATCTATTAATGTGATCACTCTTATCATATTTTCAACACATTATTGTCTTTCCTTAGACTTGGAATAAACCGATTAGGATTCTTGTCATTTTGTGAATAAGACTGACCTTGAGTTATATTAACTAACGTAGTGAGAGAAAATCATGAAGAAGATGATAATATCATTTTTTGTTATAGATCATCATTGAGCAAAACACTTACATGTTTGTTGTAAATAATTGTTTGCTAATCACGATGAAGTAACTAGTGATCGATAGGACTCAAGAGATGAATACCTTCAACTCGTTATTTATCTACACTTCAAAATTCTGAAGATCAATGACAAGATCACTAAACACACCAATGTGATTTTAGATCTTTGAGTTAAAATTTTTCATCTTGAAACTCATGAGTTTTAAGTAAGCATAGAAAATTGAGAAATCTTTGCAATGAAATTGTTACTCAAGAGCCTAAAACAGCAAAGTATAATCATCATATTCATACATTTGCTTCAAGTTTAAAGGTTGCAAATCTACTTTGACTATACTCATCTTGTTCTTGAAAATCTTTTAAGTTTTTGCAGTTGTAGTTGTAAGATTTTGGCTCAAGGTTTTAACTAGATCCATAGGCTTCAGCTTGAGCTTCACTTGTCTCTTTAGTAGATTGTAAGCAGTCCATAGTACCAACTATCTCATATTCCATACTGCTAGACTTCGTGGCCGCCATCTTCTTCTGTGGAAATATTGAAGTTAAATTTTGTACCCTTGTTGCATCTGTAAAGAGATATTAACTCTAAATCTAAATCTAGAATTCTATTTTTTTTTTGGAGGATTAGTCACTAACAAACTGTCATGATCATAAAGAATAACTTGAATTCTATACACAAGACTCAATATCATTTGAATTTTTGTATAATCTCAAGTCATATCTTACATCTTTGCAAGTAGTCGAAAAAGAATATTGACTTTTTAAAAAAACTTCTTATTGTTATCCTGAAGTTATCACCTTGGAATATCAGACGAAATTACAGAAGCAGATCAATAAAAAAATACATGGAATCTTGTGAGTCATAAGTTTCCGCTGATTTTTGTAAAGGATAATCCATTGAAAGGAAACACATATCTTATCTAGCGCACATTCCCACGAAATGTCCAGCTTGGATTGATTCGCCCAAATAACGCGGACAGGGGGTTGGGCTCTGAGCCAGCTCCCAAATGTCATTGTTTGGGTGGCAGAGTTGCTTGACCTCGGCTGGACTTTGTTCTTCTCGGTACCTCCGAAACGCGTCTAGTTGCATGTTGGCGCTTTTTCTTACATGGAATTACTTGCTCGCTCGCAAGACTGGCACCGAATTGTTTCCCTGCACAAGGAGATTACCCCACGCGGACCTTTCCACAGCAAGTGGTCTACTCGAACGTTGAATACACGGTCCTCCTGCCCAGAAGTCTTCACTGGGTGACAGGCCGAGGGAATCCCGTCCCTCCTTTCCCTTTGGAGCATTGTTGAAATACCCGAGCAAGTGTATAGAATAGGGAGATACGGACATGAGAATAAGGAGATGCATAACATGTAGCAAGAGTATCCCCACGAGGGTCTCTAATACGGACTCAGTCAAAACCCAAGTGGCCTGACGACATGAAGGTTGATGCTGCTCCTGAATGGTGGAACTCGTAGAAACAGCTCAATGTATAGCATGTCTTCTTTTTAAAATATCTGCACACATCTCTTCCCTCGAGCCTCTTCTTCTTGGCAGTGCCCCAAACGAGTGAACCAGGGACTATCCACCGGTCTCCTTGCGAGGAATAATAAGTAAAGTGCGAACATGTACCCTTCTTATTCCGCGTGAGGTTCATTGTACCTCGTAACGCGCGCTTGGAGCTTTTCTTCGCTCGAATGAGAAATTAGCAATGTCTTTTCTTGTTATCCACTTGGCCCCCCGGAAAAGAAGAAGAAAATTTGCCATAAGCGTGGGGGACATTTGAGCAAAGATGCAGTGGACCGCGAGGACCGCCGGATCAGATCGAACATGTGTTCATGGGAATTTCGGGTCTTATTTCGAATGTATTTGTCTCCAGAGTCCGGACCACTTGATGGTTCCGTTCTGCCAACCTGCCTCTTTTGTCCTGAATCGATTCCCGCCTTTGACCGCATCGTCTCAGGCCCGGGCGCACGGGTCAGCAGCATCGACCGTAGGACTGTCTTGCGTGATGCTCGTAACCATTGATCCTCTTAGTCGTGAAAGTCAAATCCCGTACTGCACTGAGTACTTTAAGATCTGTCCTTTTGAGATCGACCAATGGATAGGACTACGCCGTCGCCTCAGGAGTACCCTCCCTTGTTGTATTGACGGAGATCTAGCAATTATTAAACACCCATATAATGCAAACGCCCCGGAAAGAGAATTTCTCGAGAGTTTTGGATCTCCACTCATCTGAAAATGTCAACCAAACCTACGTCGCCGGGTTCCTGGGTGAGCCACGGCCGTTCATAATTGACGCCTGCAGATAGGATGGAATACTGTCCGTAGTGACGTGGGGGAGTGAATGGTGAGGTGATATCAGCGCAGATACGCCGTCTACGCTTACATACGATTTCCGCGAAGCATCACCCAGCCTAGCACAGTCGAAGGTAAACAGCAAATTGCACTCGCAGAGATTCGAGTGAACGGAAATATGGTAATCTGACAAATGTCTCAGAACACGACACCTCGATCTCCGCGAACTCAATGTCCACCCGAGTCCACCGTGGAGCCGCAGTCCGAGTCTTCTGACGGAGGATCTTGCCATTACCCAACGGGGTGGACGAGAATTACCATCCTCGTGTGAGATTAGTAGTTTTGTTACTGGAGCCTAGATTTCTGTTGAGCTCGGATCCCGAGTAGTATCCACACGGCAAAGATTCATACTTCTGTATACGGTACAGTATACGAGTTGAGGGGGAGGTGGGGCCTGGACTCGTCGAGGGGTTTAGTCAGATTCTCAGAGAGGGTGCTTTTGGGTGGATTTGGGTCTAATGCACCGCTGTGACGATGTCGAAGTTGCTGGTGGATCACGTCAGGCCTGACAGGCAGCGAAGCTGACTGTTGACCATTTGGAAAAGGGGCTTTCGGGAGCATAGATCTAAAATTCTCTACATCCCTCGCACGATAATGGTGTGGTCACGCCTTCGAAGACTTTCGTAACCTATGACCTTCGATTCGTCCCTCTCAGCAAATTGGTCATGCTCTGACTCCGAGTGGACTCTGAAGAAGACATTGAACGGCGCAGTCGGTGCGCCCTCTAGACACCTTCAGCCGACACTCTTTACCTTAAGAAAAAGCGCAGAGCCGAGTCACGACCCTCCGCACCCCCGTACCTCACGAAACTGAAAATCTTCGTCGCCTTTGTTTGTCCCAAGACGATGGAATCGTAGGCTCCCTTCCCTGTTCCCTCCCAGATGCGTCGGCTCGTTCTCGGATCCGTGAAATTGGGACCCTGTTTCGTATGCAGAGATTTAGGGAGCAATTCGACCCGCTGGACTCTGAACATCATAAATGATGAAGTAGACGCTTATGCTTGAGAACCGTGTTCCATTCGTCCAGAGGTCCGAGCTGGCTCCATTAGAGCTCAGCAGGTGGGCGGATTGCAAATCTCTGGCGGTCTGCTGGAGACTGAGGAGCCGGCGAGTTCCAATTTTATCACAGCCCATCTAGCAAGCTAGCTACCGTAGAGAATCGATCGAGCTGAGTCATCTGAAACAAAGGACGCGAGTGAGTGAGGCAGGGGTGTGTGCACATGATCGTTCAGCGAATGTTTATTATCAAAGGAATCAGCTCGTTGGATTTAGACCAATATCCACGATAGATGCAGAGAAGTCCGTCAAGGAAACGCTGTCGGTCCCACCCAACTAGAGACATGAAAGGATCAGACACGAGATGGGGTTCAGTTCGCATTCAGGTGTCGAGCATGTTGTTTTGCTCCTTGCTGCTGATGCACACCTGGAACGCAAACGCTGCCTTGTCTGCTGAAGAAGGTGAAAGTTTAATCAAGTCAGACTCGATAAAATAATTCTCGTCGTTCTGCTCCATAAATTTTTGTTCCTACTGAATGAAAGCAAGCGTTGTTACACTGTCATGCTGTTGCCTTAACATCAGGTGTGGTCATCGGAACGCGAGAGCTTCGATTTTAACGTGGCGGTAGTTGAATCAACAAGTGCGTAAGAAGTTGTGAAGGTCTTAACTTTGCTTCATATTTTCCAGAAACTACACTCGAACTTGTGCGGGACCATTTCGGACTGCCCAACTGGACCGGCGATCCTTGCATCACCTTGGATTGGATAAAATGTTCCAACACATCCACCACATCCACCACGACAAACGTTTGGACCATGTACGTATGCTGTCAGTTTGATCTATCTTTTCCAGAATTGTGACCATCCAGACGACCTCGTTCGTATCTCATGAAGACCGCAGCTCTTTGATTGAAAGAAATTGTTGTTCTGTGGCAGCAATTTGACAGAGAAAAATCTGACCGGTCAACTCCCGGCTTCAATTACTCAACTACGACAGCTTCGAGAACTGTACGCCTTCCTTCACTAATTCAGTTGTACAAGGCTATCAAATTTGGCAGATGGATTTTTCAAGCTCTGTCCGCTTCGATTCGTGATTGATAATTTCTTCAGGCACGTGTTGTGGCTCAACAGCTTCATCTTGCACTTCTAGAGAACGTATGTCTTATTCCGAATCTTCTCCTTTTACAGGATTGTCTACCAGAACGATCTCGTTGGCCCAGTACCAGATCTCAGCAACTTGACCTTCCTCACATTCCTGTAAGAATCAGAGCAGTTATTACTACCTGATGAAAACATGTAGGAAATTGCAGGAATGTCTTCAGTAGCTGATTTGAGCAGAAAGAATCACGGTAGCTGGTTAGTAACCAGCAACGGTATTTCAGACCTTCTTCACACGTAAACTCGTTCTATTGTACACTGCTTTCATGCATCGATAGCTCTTAACATTGTCGTTATTCTTGTGCCGTGTTTTTGGACAGTGACCTGAGTGAAAATAACTTCACTGGACCAATTCCAGACACAACCGCATTCACCAACCTTTCTCAAATGTAAGTACTTCATTTATTTGACAGAGTGGTCCAGATGAGATTCTGAGAAGAGCTAATATTGAGAAGACGTGCCAAATAGACTAATAGATCTTTTGGCTGAGCAGAATCGTAAGCGGAAACAAATTCAGCGATGGCTTCCCAGCATCTTTATTCAACCACACTACAATCCGGAAGATGTGAGTGGCTTTTCTGGAGTGCAACCGATAGTCAATATTAAACTTTCAAAGAAATGTAGAAATTCATGTTTAAAAAACGTAAGAGGATTCGTATTTCCTTTTGACTGGAAAGGTTGCATATCTGTTCAGTGCAAAACTTAGTCGCCTTCTCGTTCATTGAACTAAACACAGTTGTATTTCTTCCTGACAGAATGTCAAATAATAATCCCATAGGAGGTCCTGTTCCCGACTTCTCTGGAGTGACATCTATACGGGAATTGTAAGTTAAACCAAACGCCTTTATAACATTTCCAGTTATCAACAATCTAGGCACTTCCAAGAAGACATCTGACCTCTAGTGGTTAGAATATCGGCCTGTTTTGACTCTCTCTCTATGCGTGTAGAACTTGGAACTTGTAAAGGTTTGGTGTTTCCAGAGACCAGTGCATCTCTACATACTGAGATTAACACTTGGGTTGTGAGCTCGGTGCAGATATTTTGCCATGACTCAGGTTGTTGGGAGCATTCCTGCTTCGATGGGGAACTTGACTCAGACAACACACATGTAATGTTCTGACTATCACAATCACTAAGAGTCATTTGAAAGTGGCTTAGACTTGAAAATCATATGTTAGGTTTTAGCCGCTGTTTACTATGCATATCACTCTATGGACATTGATGTACGCTGAGGACCAGTTGACCGGTTCTTGCCTCCATATAGCGGTTACTTCAGATCGTGATCTGTACTACATAAGATTTGTGTTTCAAACCCAGCGTGATGATAAGATTTACGCAGAAATAGCTCATTGAGAAACGCTTGCAGCTTGACTCCAGAATTGTGATTCTTGATTCTTTGTGTCACAATAGTTTCTTGTAAGATTGTATGCTGAACTCAAGCTTCATTCTGCTTGTCAATGTTATTGATACAGAGAATTTCACAATAACCCCAATATAAGTGGAGTTCTTCCAAATCTCACGGGATTCCTCAGCCTTCAGTATTGGTACGAATCTTTGTACCTATTTTTGCATGTAAAGATAATATCTCTTTCAGCAGCTTGTGATTGTCAGCTGGTTGCAAAATGCATTTGCAAGACTTGTGTATTGATCTCTGTTGGACTGGTCTTACAATGATGGACGCAGGGATGCAAGCAATTGTGATTTAAGTGGCCCTCTTCCGGATTTCAGAAATGCAGGAGGATTGATTAAAGCGTAAGTACGAAGAACATTGCTCATTGCAAGAAATGCGATCTTGTATAAGGAAGTCATCACCAACGATTCTCATGAATATTGACTTCATAAGATGTTGCTCTTTGTACCCTACTTTGAGCTTGAAACACACTGCTAGGAGTTAAAGTTGATGGTACTGTCAAAGTGCTAAACTTCATATCTCGTCCCATCAGGGCTTTTACGAACAACAACTTCAATGGAACGATAGCTCCTGCTTTCTTCCAACATGACAAAATAAGATGGGTGTAAGTTTTAAAACTTATTGATATTGACTCTTCACCTCCAATGTTTTCTATACATCGTCAATTGTCCTCAGCAAAGTGAATTCATCAAGTAAAAATAATTATGAAGATTTTCACACTTACGTCATTATACAAAGTTAACGCATGCACTTGTTGGGCTTTGTACAGGAATTTGGATTCAAACCCTCAATTGACAGGGGAGGTTCCAGACGTGGGTCTGCTTACGAGCGTTGAAGTCTTGTGAGTAAATTCTTTACGCAAATTTCTCGCAGCAAACTTGACGATCTCTTTTATGTGACTTCAGGTGACCAAATTTTTTCGTTATGTTTGAAATCTTACAAGTGGAACCTAATTTGGGTTTTGCAGTAGCATAAACAACTGTAACCTGACGGGACTTCTGCCTTCATTCAAAAACAATACCAAATTGATGTATTTGTAAGTTATTGAACTGAACTCTGCCATAATTTTTGCTTAAAAATCTCGGATTGGATCTAAGCTCTTGGTCGAATATTGAGGACCAATTGTTTTCTGTCACTTTCTTATCTTCCTTCCGACACAATCTTTTCTCTTAGGAGGTTAGCAATTGTATACTGCACAAACTGTGGGCCCTCATCTGCTAATTCACCTCAAGCACAATATAGTATAGGTCGGATATTTCACTCTTTTCTACTGCTGCAGTTACTTCAAGTGACGCAGCTCTGCTAAGCTCAACGATCTCCGTTAGCCCAGGATCTCTTAAGGCTGATAGAAGTCTGTTTTAAGAAGCAAGGGTGTGGGTTTAATTGCCACAATCGGAAGTTTGTGCGTGTTATGTGGCGCAGGGATTTGCTTGTACAGCAGAATAAAAAACATTCTAATACAGTTTAATTGCTGTCGTCTTACCAGGAACCTTTGGAACAATCGTTTCACAGGATTTTCGGACCCTGACTTTTCACATATAACGACACTGGTAGTTTTGTAAGTAAAATGCTGCTATCATAGTGCTCAAAGTCACATCTTTTGCATCGGAGGTGTAAGTGCCTGGTTCACTGTGATGATCCGCTCCTGCCAAGCTCAAGAAAAGACTTGGCAGGAGCGGATTCGTAGCGATTATTCTGACTAGTACTGCAGTATCTACTGACTTCATAGCATGGCTGGCACCCATGTTACTATCCTGTATCGATGTCAGAGAGCTAACAACTGCGTTGCATTCTTTTCACAGAGATGCACAGAATAACAGTATGACCGGAAGCTTACCTGAAGTTCCTCCAAGTTCGAGTCAAATCAAAACGAGCGAACGTTTCCTCCAGAAATTGTAAGTGTCATTGCAGGACCTGCGCACCGTTTTGTGCATCATTGCAGTTTGTATTGCTTCATCATCGGACCTATCTGCAGACAGATCTCGAATGTGTGATCTTCAGTGAGTCGTGCTGTTGACGTAATTCAAATTACGAGTCCGATATATTCTGATGGATGCACATACCTCGTGTTGATTCTTTGCCAACGTTGACAGGAGACTTAACAACAACAGCTTTTCTGGGGAGATTCCTAAGTCCTGGTTCAACCTTTCTTTCACCGAAATATTGTAAGAGATCCTGCAATTTCTCTCCCGTCGAGTGATGATACAATTTACGTTACTTCTTCTAACAGCCTTCTGAATGTGTGATGAGTTACTGATACTGGAGCTTAAGCATTATCCACCTGTGTCTTCCGTGTCTCAAGTTTGTAATGTTTCCTCAAACAGACGCCTCGACCGCAATAACCTCAGCGGAGTCATACCAAAGGAAATCGGAAATCTGACTGATCTGCAGACCTTGTAAGTTGCACATCATCAGATATCCATCTCAACAGCTTGTGTTGAAGTTAAAGGTGGGAATGGGCTACGTTCGTTGTGCTGCTTTCTTGGACCCAGTACTAGTAAAGTAACGGGCGTTTGATCAGCCGGGGGAAACATGTGGTCTTCGTCATGGACTATGTTTGTTCGTGTGACTTTCGACCAGCTTGTCACTCGAGAATGTCGTGAAAGTACGGCCTGGCTGATTATGATGAGTAACCTTGTGTGCTGCGCAGAAACCTGGCCAACAACTTTTTCTCAGGACCTATCCCCGAGGAAATAGGCCTCCTTACAGGACTTCAAACTCTGTAAGTGCTGACGCCCTCCAAGCTCATTACCTGATGTGCTGTAAACGTCCTAATTGAGTCCCTTATTTTCCGGGTAAATGGGAAGGGTCGTGAGAGATTGCGTTGCATTGAAGCATCTCCTTTTGAGAACTGACTCTGGCCAGGTATCGTCCGTTTCAGGGATCTGAGAAATAATAGTTTCAGTGGCACTGTACCTGAGTCGCTGGCTCTGATTCCAAATTTAACTCGAGTGTAAGTGATCGGTTAAAAACCACATGAAAAGCATTAAAAAAAAAGTTTCCGACGTCACTCGCTGCTGTTTCACGAATCCTGTTAAAGATATTCGTTCTTCGCGTTTTTACGTGTTTGTGATCATTATCGAATGCCGCTTGTAGCCTTTCTGTATGCTGATAGCATTTTGCCACTCCATTGAATAAGCAATTGGGGTTGGGTTTCCGAACGGCAGTAGGACAGATCATCGACTTCCCTGAAACTTGGCTTTGACTGTTGCAGATGGCTGGATAACAACAACTTTACGGCAATTCCGCAGGCTCTCATAACTAAGCTGGGAGCGAACGTGACGTAAGTCTACACAATTCATCGGACAGTGAGCATGTACTTCAGTTGTGTCTCCAAGTGTTCATTAGGTTGCAGAGCTAAAGAGTGTATATACTTGATTCTCTTGCAGGTTTGCGAACAATACCAATATTCAGATCCTAACTTCGAGTACCAGCTCATCTGGTCTTTCGACTGGAGGCATTGTCGGAGTTGTAATCGGAGCCATAGTTGCAGGCATTGCTGTCCTGTCCATCTTGCTGTACATCCACAAAAGACGACATGCAGACGATCTGTCTAGAGGTACAGTTTGGTTTGCTTCCTGACCCTGCTTTTGTGGACATCTGTCGCTCGCCACACTTCTTCTTGAGAATGACACTCGGAGCGGAGAGGACAAGCTCCAATCGCCAAACAACTGACATATTCAATTTTGTATATCTCGTGAAACAGAGGACATGCCGAAATCAGCCAAGTTTTTTCGGCTGAAGGATATAAAAAAAATGACCTGTAATTATAAAACCTTGATCGGGAAAGGAGGGTTTGGATCAGTCTACCACGGAAAATTGTCAGATGGTAAAGAGGTGGCTGTAAAAGTCAGGGCAGCTGATTCTAAACAAGGAGTCGGAGAGTTTTTGAACGAGGTATGTATGCAAATACTTCCCGTGGTGTTTTCATTTCTCGTGTCTCGTGTCACAATGGTGAACATCGCACTTTTCACCATTACTTTCGTAGTGACACAAGAGAGAATCTGTCAGTTAATAAGTTTCTATCTGGACGGATGCAAACAAATCAGAATGAACGCTGATACTTATTTACTGGTTGAGGCAGGTACGACTCCTATCGAGGTTGCATCATCGCAATCTAGTACCTCTTGTTGGTTACTGTCTCGAATCACGCCAGCAGATCCTCGTCTACGATTACATGTCGCAGGGCACTTTAAACGATCATCTTCATCACGCAGGTGACAGTGCTATCCAATATTCCTGCTGGAGCCCTTTCGGATTATCTCTGAATGAAGCTTGATCCTCATGTACATATCAATCTTGGAACACCCCGTCTCGATGCATGCTCACAAATGCTGGTGTGATGTGCGGTTCCGACTCAGGTACTCTGCCCTATACATCGGAAACTGCATCAGCAGATCAGTCTACGACGAGACCACCCCTCAGCTGGAAGACACGAATCGAAATTGCCATCGGATCTGCGAGAGGTAACTAGCGGCTGGGATCTCTGATACCTTCTTCAAGCCAAGTCTCACAGTTTTCACAAACAAACAACACGGACGTCCCTTGAAACAACTCCGTCTGGTCATTGACTGAACTAATGTTGCGCAGGTCTCGAGTATCTGCACAAGGACTGCAACCCACCGGTCATACATCGTGACGTGAAGTCATCAAACATTCTGCTGGGTGACAAACTGCAAGCCAAGGTCACAGATTTGGGTATTTCCAAACAAGTTCCAGAACTTGCGACTGATGATATGGAACAGCATACAATGAGCGGAGTCTCTACCGCCATCAAGGGCACCATCGGCTATTTGGATCCTGAGTACGTTTCCCTTTCCTCTGGACCACGATCTATATGCCCTGACTTGACTCTTGCCAATTCAAAGAAGTGGTCATCCGTGTCCTTTGGTTTTGTGTGGTTTGTATTACTTTCTGTATGGTCTCGTTTTTAGTTCTGGGTTTTGCCAATGCTGCCATTCAGCGAAATTCCGCAAGTTCTGACGCGATTTTCGCTGCACATTACAGATACTTCGTGCGACGCAAACTGACAACGAAGAGCGATGTCTTCAGTTTTGGAATCGTTCTTCTAGAGATCATCACGGGAAAGCGGCCTCACAGCGTTGACTTCTCTTTGAGTGACGACACGAACTTGAATGACTGGGTAAGAACTGAAATCCTCTTTCTCCACGCAGAAACGAAAGGAATGAGTCTGAAGAACAGGAATGAAGCCCCGAGGGCCAAAACTCCACATGGTCATGAATCATCCTCATCAAGGACCGGACCGCACTTGCAGCTGCCTCATCAGTCACCTCTGATCTCGTTTTTTGCAGTTATAAAGTACAGAGCAATAAATTGCAGCCCCCGGTATCTGTCCTCCTTTTTCGTTTTATTCCGGTGCATGTATCTATCCACCCCAATGATCCAATTTGAGAAACCAACCCCTGCTCACAGAATTCCGCTTCTGGGATAAACGTACCAGAGAATGAGGAGGATTCTGATTCGAAATTCGGTTCGGTGGTCCCTCCTCACATCGTCAATGCAGGCAATCGACGCGTCGAATCTGGGAACTGTAGAGAAAGAAATTGTGGAATTGTGGAATTGTGGAAATTGTGCTTTTCTCTTGACGATTCTTGAACCGTGATGGGCAGGTCCGAGACGCTGTGGATATGGACGAGGTGGACCGCATCGTCGATCCTGCGCTGAAGGGCGGCTACGACGAAGAAGGGATGAGGAAGGTCGCAGTGTGCGCCGTCCAGTGCATCGCCCCGAGCGGCGGCGAGAGGCCGGACATGGGCGAAATCGTCAACGTGCTGACGGAGGCCCTGCAGTTGGAAGGAGGACAAGTCGATCCTCCCGTCGACGGGAATCCCGCCGATGTTCACCGGAAATTCATAGACGATGACTCGGTCCCGTTCTCCGGCCAGCTGGGTGTGCCGCTCAAACCCAAACCGGTGGACGAGGTCGACCCAACCGACCTATCCGACGTGTCGTATCCGACTCAGTCGACCAAGTCCTACGGTCCCTGATTGGTCTTCGTCCCTCCCGGAAGAGGGCCACCGCGACGTCGCAGCTTCAGGCTGTCGTGGAGTTTTGTTCTTCAGTGTATATAAGTCAGACGTGCGTGCGGTTTTCGATTTTTAGCACTCCAGATGTGTTGATAGGCAAATTGTGCACAAAACCGTTAGTTCTAATCATACTGTCAGGCCGCGTGATGATGCCCGAGTTATTACAGCCAGTAATTGGCACCTCCCCGCATCTGAATACTCTTCAACACTCGGTCCTGTGATACTGCACGTAGAGAAGGCGTAATCTTGTAGGCTACATGTGAGGAGGAAGGGGAACAAATTGCTTCGAAAGAGCGAGAGATCCGGTTAGAATTCTCTCGTAAGTATGTCGTGCATGATAGAGTTTTGTAAATCTCGACATATTATTCGGTTAAATTTCGGCCGGAAAGTGAAAAGCAAACGTATACTAGTATTGATTATCTTCCATGTGGCCAAAAATGGGATGCGAGTTGTTGGAATATTAGCTTGACTCAATGGTTGCAGATGAGTCTATTGTGTGGGATTACCTACTCTCATTCACACAGATCACAAGGCATTCTTGCCAATGGCCGCTGTGCCTTTAGCATTACCAGATTTCCATCTAGAATTAATATAGAAGTGATTGAACTATATCACACTTGGATCAACTATGTCTGAAATAGAATTAATTATTCATCTATGCTTCATGAAAAACTGTCGAAATCTTCAGACATCAACTTGATCTAGCATTGGGTAAGACACGCACTCCGAATTTCGAATTTTGCGTTCTGATATCATCACTCAATGATCAAGAAGTAAGTGGTCTCATTTCATTATGGAGGTAGGAATTCAGACAGAAGAACAAGAGTCTTGTTCAGAGTATGTTCAAAATAGTCGATAAGTACCCGAGTGTAGGCTACACTCAGTAAGACACTAAAATCCATGCGTTAATTGTATCAGCTTTTCAAGAATGATCGTTCTACGATTGTCATTCAGTACTTTCAGCCCAGTTCTGACTGACTCGGAAGATCAAGTTCTCACCACAACCTCCATAGGGTATGAAACCTTCCCTGATATCGAGTTTTCTATCTTCTTGCACAAGTTTCTTTCTGCATACGATCAACTCTTGAAATGTTGGGAGTGGTGAAACACCTCGCGCTGTTCAGTCAGAGAGATTATTTGAGCAATTTAGCCGTGAGCAATCACAAATGAAGCTTTCCACGAGACTGTTCTCAGGAAAGGGCGAAGGACAAATCGGGAAGGGATAGAAATGGAACACTTGTAAGACTGTACAGTACGTAAGGCTAGCTGTGATCTCCGGACTGCAGCTCTTCTGTAGACCTATTTGCCCGTGAACGAATAACTGTCTGAACGGGGTAAAAATACCACTGACTCGCGGCATTTAGAATTATTTGGATGCTGGAAGAACCTACACGAGGAGGGTGGGTTTAGAACTCCAGTAGGAGCGAATCGGAAAAGAAGAATCGGAAGGGGCAACCTCGGTAAAGTGCACCCGTGCGCCATGGACACCACAGTGGCACCAGACAGGAAAGTACCCCATCAAGTCCAACTGGCGGCCACCACGATCCATGTCAGTTAGGAGGCGCACAACCAAAGCACACCATGCAATATGATCCATCGCGCCAAAATCCAGACTGCTGAAAGAACAATCCTCGTTGAGCAGGAAAAAGTGCCCGACAAGCTTAGAGATGCACTGATGTCAACGCAGGCCAAAAAATTCGACTCTTATCGTGACAGGTGCTGATCATGTACTCTATGCGGTATTCAAGCATGCCATTCCTCCCCTCTCCGACACTCCTAAGGAAGAGGCTGGGCAGTACGTCCAGCCATAGAGCGCCGGGCACTGTACTCTAATCAATGACATTCCACCTCTCCTCATACTGATCCTACAGTTTAGTTTCTGATTTCTGTGCTTGATGGCCAGGAGGAGGATTCGGTACTTTCATTACGGAATACATATGTCCTAGAAAGTCCTCCTGTCGCACGATCTCGCGGCGCGATGTGCGTTCCGGGCCAGAGAAATCCGAACCGGAAACTGATGCTGAGGAAAAATTGAAAGCATGTGTGGACGGGATCGTTGTCAATTGTCACTTGCTCGCTTACTCAGTCTTTCACTGTTATCCTGGAGCCTGGGTTGTGCCTGTCCCTTGAACCGATAGATTCGAATTGATGATGAGGTCGAGTATAGACCTACACTGCCTCATTTCGATTGGTATATACCTCCTTGATCCGCGATTTCCATTCACGTCGAGGATGGCATTGAGTCCAGACCCACCTGAGTGGAGATGAGTGCCTGAATTCGCGGTAGATAAGACTGGGTCAATTCGACAAACTCGAGGATCAGGACATCAGGGAACTTAAATAGAAGGATCAATCGAGGCCCGGCAGGACAAATCTCCAGACATACGGCCTGAAAGTCGATGGCGGTGGGGGTGCAAACTGTGAAAACATGAGGAGTGCACAGCCTCGGAGTTATATAAGCCGCCTCCACCATAGCCTTTGACATCGAGCTGCAGCAAGAGCGCTTGAGATGCACCACTTCGCGCAACCATATGGCGATCAGGCCTGCGGAGGAGTTCAATCCGCCTGCAATCTGCTCGATGCCGCTGAAGCACATCTGGCAAGTGGGCGCCGCGCTTCTTCGGAAAGAATGTGAGCTCGAGCTCTATACCCGGAACATCCCATCATGCCACGTCGGCGGCCTGGTCGATCTTGCCTATGTGTCAAGTGTCTGGATCCCCGAGACGGCGAGGTCAGACATGCCACGTAAGCTGCCTGGTCGATCGTGCCTATGTGTCAAGAGTCTGGATCCCCGACCCTGAGAGCTCAGATTGTTTTGTCGAGAAAAATCGTTCACCAGTCGAGAGAGACTCGTAGAAGTGGATTTGCGTCGTGCATGTGCAGTCAATGCACTGGCAATCGTCCAGGTGGACAGATTCAATCTGCCCACCTGGACGGTCGACCCTTGCGAAGATCCGCCGTGGAGGGACTGGATAATTTGTTCCGGATCCGACACGACCGCATATACGACTCGGACTGTGGAGACGCTGTGCGAGCGATGATGATCTTGTTCCTGTTGTTCTTGAGAATATGACCTTGTTCGGGGTACGAATTGTTTGGACCAGCCGCGTTCGATGCCTCGTAATACAGTGCGGTCTTCGCTGAGACTGGCGTAGTTGGAACTTTACTTTCTTCAATGAAAAACATGGTTCAGACAACACGCATATAAAATTCCTGACCAACTTAACTCGTTGTAATAAAGACAACTCTCACTAATGCGCAATTCCTCATTTCAGTTGATATTATTATTACTGAGATATTCTTAAGCAAATTTGAAAAACCTAATTAGTACTTATTACCTCTTCCGCTCTGATTCAGAATCTAAATTGATATTTCCTTGCATTCAAATCCGAAATTTTAAATTTCTATGTAGGTTTTCTTTATACAATGTCACTCTCAAGTAGTTCAGTTTCTCAATGGAAATTTATTCCTGACATGCTGAAAAGCCTGAATCAGACTTCTGCTCGTGATCATCATATAGAATTCTAGAGCAATCCCAATTTAGCGGGTCCTCTTCCAGATCTGAGTGGACTGCTCAGCATGATGTATTGGTATGCCGCTAAAGAAGTCATGTTACATTCCGAACAAACTTCTTCCTATCATTGTATTCAGTCAGCGAGGATTTTAGTGCATGTGCTGGGTCCGAACAATACTTCATCTCAGACTGCGACTGTCATGATTGACACAGGGATTCAAGCATCTGTGCTTTGAATGGCCGTCGTCCCGATTTCCGAAGTGCAAGAGGACTGATAAAAGCGTAAGTTTGAAGGACAATTACTGGGATGGAAACATGAAATACTGAATGTATGTGATGTGTATCACAAGGTCATCATTAGAAGCTGGAACGATATGAGACTGATGCATACTTACATATGCTTTTCGATCGAGACCTGTAAATCATTTTGGATGAATTGATCAAGTGGATTTTGAAGATCTTACTCTCGTTTGTCGTATAATCAGGGCTTTGATCAGCAATGACCACAGCGAAACGACATACCCAGCTTTGTTTCAACATGACAAAATTCGATGGTTGTAAGTAATCAAAATCAATGGAAAATCTCTATAGATCTCCGCTATGTTTAGATCTAGTCTTGACGCTGTTTCTAGAGACAATATTTGCTCAGCTTAACCAAATATTTTCCTTTCGTTCTCTGGAGACATGAGTTTACTGAATTTTATTCTTCGTACTTTATCTCCTGTGCAAAATGAATCAACAAAGAATATTCATTTTGATTATTGGTCAATGACTTTGAAAGGAATTTCATGTCTCTTGCAGAAATTTGCATGAAATTAGCCTAATGAGAGGGGATCTTCCGGACGAGAGTCAGCTCGCCAGAGTCGACGTCTTGTAAGAATACTGTGACCTGCTTACATCACAATGATTCTCGAGCTATGCTACATTCGGAATTTTATAAGAAAGTAATTATCTTGTCGTGGGTTTCCCTTATATTTTGTACCCGATACTATTATTTGCAGGAAGATGTACAACTGCAATCTGACGGGACGTCTGCCTTCTTTTCAAAACAACACAAAGCTCATGTATATGTAAGTATTTCTTCAAATAGGCTTCTGAGGCTATGTCTTCAGTCATGTATTTTATGGATATTTTTGACAATCAACTTATTGGAAAACTATAACCAGAGTTGGGCACATTGCACGGTTTTATTGCCAACAACAATTTCGAAGTATCAATCCCAGCCGAAGTAGGAGATATTATTGAACTATTAGAAATGGATTCATCGGGAAACCAGCTATTGGATCCCATCCCAGTATCAGGGATGGGATCCAATAGCTGGTTCGTTGAGCAGATTAGTTTGGATTATCTCAACTATCCGGTGCCCGTTGCAGATTCCTTCGACAGGTGCTTCTTCGAATCTTTTATCCTTGGGAAATTTAAACTCTGTGGAGATTCCATAAACAAGTCATGCGAATCTTCTGCATTTAGCTGTGGTGGTAATCTTGATCCTCAAGCTTGTACTATTAAGAGGAGTGGGAACTTTTTCCATTTAGTTTGATTTGAGTTGATAATACTGCAAAATTACAGAAGTGAAAGTTTCTACCCCTTGCATCTTGGTTTATTTAATCTCCTGTAGTTCGAAATTACCAAGAGAAGATCTAATTCTATTCTTCGCCAAAAAAAACTTATCCGTTACATATTAAAAAAAGATAATAACATAAAACCTGGCTTGAAAAAAATTAAAAAAATGAACAATCGTAGCTTTCTTTACAACTGTAAGAAAATATTATATTGGAATTCATGAATAATCAATATTTGCAGCTGGAGAATAAGCTGAGTCCAATTTACATACATTTTGATCATGTTGTATTGAAATTGGAGAAATTTGCCAAGTATATCACTTTTTATTGATGCATACGATGTAACATACATCTGATGAAAAAGAGGTAAAGTTTTGGTATATCTTGTTGATGAAGTTCATTATTATTAGATATTATGACGACGACTTGCAAACATTTGGAACTCAAAGTTCATCATGTTCTTTACAATTTTCCACCAGCAAAAATATTCTGGTATACCCACCAGGGAGTATACACTTTTCTATTTCACCTTAAAATCGTAAATTTTTCTCAGGTCTATATCTCAAAAGCTTTCCTTATCTCTAAGAATGAACAAACTCCCGGCCATAGAAGCATGTGGAGGAGAAATCGTCTAGAGTAATGATGTGGTTCTTCATAAAGGTCTGATGAAACTCTTTATCTCAGCACTCTATTTAATGATTGAGATAATTTTTGATGTTAATGGTTGCTTTGCGCATTTTAAGAATTCAAACTCTAAAGGAAAACTTCTTAATTTTTAGCCCGCTACTCGTCAAGGTTATTGTGTTCGATAATATGTCATTATCCAACGTTTAACTTTGTAGAAATCACTGATTTCCCAGATCCAAACCTATATATAATTATTTTCTCATTCATTCAATGTAGATTTTACATCAGAAACCAATTGGTGGGATATATTGGTATCTAAATATGATTTTATACTAAATTAAAATTAAAATTAGAATTGAAACTTTTCATAATTTGATCAAGATTTACATTATAACTCTAGTATGATATACATCAATTAACTTTATGCAAAAAAATCCTATTCCAATCCACTATTAGATAATTTTCTGGTCGGAACAATTTATATGCAAATAGATTAAGCTGTCATGAATAATGCATATAATAGATATTTGATCCATGCTAATAAAATAATTCATTTCTATTAGTATTAGCTTAGAAAAATTGTTAGTGGTAAAGAGTTGTATATCAAGCGATTTTGATTTTGTAAAATTTATTCTATATGCTAAATAGTGAATAATATTACTTTGAATATTCTACATTGCATTCGTCTCAAATCCAACTCGAAATTTTTTTATCTTACATTTGTAGATGATTCTCAATGCGATTAAATCTTCCACATCGTGCCTTGTCTTGTTCGTGTTGATAGGTTCTGGTTTTAATGGGACTTGCCAAAATGGCTCGGGACCTCGACGTTAAGTGTTGCCTGGTCACAGAAACAAGTGCTGTGGAAATATGAAGATGGCCAGCATGGAAGTATGGCCGATGGCAAATCCGCGTGCCGTTACGGACAATGAGGGGGTCGGGATGGCAAAGCGCTCCAGCAGCACGATTTGCGAAACGTGCTGGAAGCGGACGTCCTGGTTTGGTAACACTATGGCATTTAATTTGATGAGATGTGTAGCATATTTGATGGTGGAATGTTTACATGCGTTAGTTCTTGTCATGCATATTAGTTATTTATCAAATTTATACAGATAAATATATATAGATATATAATAAATATACAAAACGATAATGTAAAATCGTTATAGCGACCATTGGTTAATAATAATAATGAATTAGATCCAACTATGTTGGGTTAATATGATGTCTATAGCTATAACTAAACATATAATTTTATTATGTAAATGCACATCTGAGAGGATTTGATCGCAAAAAGAATCCGTTCCTGTGTGAGGAAAGAGGGTACACAAACCCCAACCCTTTTACTGTGACTCACCAATTCTGAATCCGCAATCTGTATTTTTCCGCACGTATTTCATGATGAGAACCTCTCCTGTGAGCTTTAGAAAGCAGCCTAGAGGGCGCGCGCAGATTTGTTTGCAATACATTGTGAGGAAGAGGCAAGTAGTAGGAGGGTGTATATTCCAACAGGCTATCCGAATGCAGCTGAATCTGTACTCTTTCACCTTCACAATCTGGAGCATGTGGCCGACTCTCTAGAGCATTAACGTTTTGGAAGTCTCTCTGGAGCTGGTTTGCAGGTCATGACACATTATAGCAATGTGTATACTGCTCTGTGACATATCCACTGTCAAGGTGGTACTCAGATTTGCCGATCTTGGCGGCAGCAGGATCAAGAAAAAAACGGAAATGTTACAGCAGAGCTGATCTGTCGTAGGCATCGAGATCAGCAATGAAGAGTGACTCTGGTCCTATCTATAGCTGCTTATAGTTGTTGGCAACTAGATAATGAATTCACTTCGAGAGTTCTCTGAACGGCGCATCATTCGGCCTTCACTGAACATGAGCGGAAGATGTTTTAGCAATAGATGGGGAGTTTGTATCAACAAGATCTAAACAAAAGTTCAAGACTCTTGGCAGGAATGAGGTACGCCCAGTCAGTTGTTGAGTACAACAAGAACAGGGTGACAGTAAGATTTCTAAATCAATTTGAATATTCTGCTATATAACTAAAAGCATCCTTCTGTCTATTTGAACCCTAGAGGTGTGTCTGCATGTTGGGATGAAATTTGAAAGGTGTACAGATACTCATCGAAATAGTCGTGGAGAACATCTCTAGTCTCTTGTTATTATATCATGAATAGAATAAGATGAAAAAGTATTTGAATATTACGACCTTGTTGACACCATTAAACCATTTGTGTGCTCGCGCAGTTCTCGTTCTATAACTAAAACAAATCATAGTATCACATCCAGGTAACTGACATGGATGGATCCAATTCATTGGTGGATGATACAATGATCAATTTAGCTTTTTTTACATTACCGTTCTGTATTATTATATATATATAAATTTATTTGATGTAAAACTAAATTTTTATTACTAGAACTAAAGCATGTAGACATCCCACCATTAACTAAACATCTCATCAATTTTATTGCAATAATATCAACCCGATTTAAACCATGTAAAAAAAGTGACCATTGCTCCTTGTTGCACAAAATTCTAATCTTCATTCGTTTGTCGGTTGTCTTACAAGCTTCTACGTGAGCCCACGCGCTCTAATCCAAATTTACATTACATCATCGTATGAATTCGTGTACGAAAAATTTCTCATCACGTCATACGTAGATCTAAGAAGGACGGACAAAGAGACCGTAGTCAAACTGAGTACGCTCCATCTTTGGATGTTCTGCAAATAAAAACCTGTTTCTCAAAGATGGGATCAAAGTGATCATACCGATGACAGTCGCGAATCCAACTGAAGCTCCTATTGCGAAGGCTGTCATGGACACACCATGAAAGTACAAACTCCACGAGTCTGCCGGTTTAGTAACAAGATGAGGATCAAGATCACTTCCGCAACTAAAAGCAGAAGATTCACAGGGCTTGTTTATGGTATCTCCACAAAGTTTGGGGTTTCCAGGCAAAAAAGATCCAGAAAAGCGCGTGTCGAAAGAATCTGCAACAGGAATGGGACCACAGAGTTGATTGAGCGACAAATTGAGGTAACCCAAACGCAGTTTACTCAATGACACTGGGATAGGACCTGATAGCTCGTTTTCCGATAAATCCAGCTCTGTTAGATCAACAATTTCTCCCAGCTCAGCGGGGATAGATCCGTTGAAATTGTTGTCGGCCATGAACAAGTACGTAAGACCGTGCAATGTGCCCAACTCCATGGGGAGTTCTCCAGTAAGTTGATTATCAGAAAGATCCAACAACGCGAGTGCTCTTAGTACGTATGTGTACCCCAAAGTACTTTCTCCTCTTCTGAGTGATATCTCTTCCATGGAGCGCAAATCTAGAAAGTTGTTTGCTGACTCCAGTTTACTCTTCAAGGGAAGCTTGTAGGTTTCCAATCCTGAGAGGTCCTGAGGCAATACACCGGTGAGCGCATTGGAAGAGAGGTCAAGCACTTGCAGTGCGGGTAGACTCCAAATCGAAGAAGGTATGGAGCCGCTGAAGTAGTTGAATGCCAAACTCAACACTTTCAACCCACTCAAGAATAACCCTTGTGATGGCGGCTCATACCACTGTGTATTCAGGACATCGAACTTTGGCAGCATCCCCGACAAGTGGTTCTTACTCAAATCCAACCAGTATAGATCAGAACAATTCCATAACGTGACAGGAAATAGTCCACTGAGTTGGTTCCCACGGACAGAAAATATGGTCAGATATTCCAATTCTGCAAAATTTATGTGTGTCAGTTGCCCTGTCAGAGAATTGTAACTCAGTCTCATCCTCACCAAGTAACTGCAATTGTTTAGGGTAACTGGAATGCTGCCGGTGAGATTATTGTTTCGAAGGTAAAGTACTTTCAAGTTCTGTAGCTTCCCCAGATCTGGTGGTATCTCACCGGTCAGATGGTTACTAGACAGTGCCAATAACCATATGTTGGTGAGGTTGCCCAACTGGCGGGGTATGGAGCCTGTTAGCTTGTTGTTTCCTAGATCCATCTCTATGACATCCTGAAGGTTTGCCAAGCTAGCGGGAATCTTTCCTGTGAGTTCATTGTACGACAAAGCCAAATATATCAACTTTTGCTGGTCTCCAAACTCTTTAGGAATGACTCCATTGAACTTGTTTCCGCTTAAGAACAAACCTGTGAGTTGGGTCAGATTACCTAAGGCTCCAGGGATCTTTCCGCTCATAGCATTGTAGCTGAGGTCCAGAAATCTCATTTTCAGCCACGACCTCACGATCGCATCCGTCAGACGTCCTGTGAATCTATTCTTGACGAAACCCGAGCTCCTCAGACTCAGAATTTTCAGGAGTGTTGAATTCCCCAGCGCATCCAAAGGACCAGTGAACTTGTTGCCGGAGAGGTCAAGAGAGGTGAGCAAGCTGATGTTCGTTAAAGATTCAGGGAGCTCTCCTCCAAACATATTGTCATTGATGATGATGGACTTCGCACTTGACAGCCTCCCAAGGTCCGCAGGCAGATTACCACTGAAGTTGTTGGAGCTGAGATCCAACGTCACCAAGTTGCGACAAGAGAGGAGGAGCTCAGGAAATTTTCCAGTAAATGCATTGTCATCTGCAAAGAGCACTGATAATTCAGACCATGACGTGGAACTGACTTGGACCAGGTTTCCGGTGAAAAAGTTGTTCCCCACATCGAGGCTGACAAGCCGAGACAGATTTGCAAATCCCACGGGTAGATGCCCTTGCAGTGAGTTCTTTCGAAATCCCAGGTGTTCGCACATGGTCAAATTCCTCAATTGATGTGGTACAGCTCCTGTGAAATTATTTCCCATAAAACTGAGAAACTTCAGGTGTATAAGCTTTCCAAGCTCCTCTGGGATCACACCTGTAAGATGGCTGTTGCCGTAGAAATCCAAGTACCACAACTTTGTGCAGTTTCCTAGGGACCTGGGAATGGTTCCTCTGAGTTCATTTGTACCGGTAAAGTAATAGTATTTCTCCCACGTGTTATTCACAACTCCGAGATTTAGAAACCGTAATTGCGAGAGCTGCCCGAGCTCTTCTGGAATCGTTCCATTGAACCACGATCCCTGCGAGGCAAGGTTAAGTACTTGCAGGCTTGTCAGATTTCCCAGTTCTTTAGGAATGCTTCCGTAGAGCTGATTTTCTTGCAGGTTTAGGATTCGTAACCTCGAGAGCCGTCCTAACTCCGGAGGAATCTCGCTTTGCAGAAAGTTTCGGTCCAGATGGAGCTCTTCCAGGTACGTAAGATTGCACAATGAAGAGCCCAACGAGCCAATCAAATCCAGCGAAGACAAGTGGAGAGCAGTAACATGCAGCTGACGATTGCAAGTGACTCTGGTCCACGAGCAGTACTCTGATCGCTTGTCGGGAGTCCAAACATCCAAGGCACCCTCCAAATAGTTCCCGAGCCCGTCCTTGAATGCGAGAAGGGCATCAGCTTCCCTGGAAAAATAAACTTAACAGAATAACTCAATCTGGAGCAGAATTGATTATTTGGCAATACGAGGTAACTTTGGTCACAATCTGGAAAACATCAATTTAAAAATAGAGCCGGAGTCTTTCACCTACCCAAAGCTAACTTCGAGCAACGAAACTGCTCGTGAAAACCGATGAGGCGTGGGGTCGGTTTCATGTTCATGAAAAAGCCCCTCTCCACTGTGATGAATCTTTGACGCATGCAATTGTAATCCTCGATGGTCGTGATGATCTAGGTCCCTTTCCTTGAACTCTACCGCACGAAGAAGCTCATCGTAAAGAAGCTGGCCTTTACGGCTAGATTGGATGAAAGTTCTCTCAGACTCGGCAGATGTTGTCTGATGCGAGAGAGAACTAGAGGCTTGTGACGGCCACTTCTCTCCCATGCAAACCGTGGCAGAGGAGCATACGAGAAAAAATGCTAGAAGAACAATCAAATGACCCGGTGCCATCTTGGCATCAATGTTACGGTGGAATTGGAGGTTGGAATGATGGGATTGAAGTCTGGCATTTATAGATGCTGCTCCCAGAGCCCAGCTTTCGCTGTTTCTCAAGCAAGTGGATGATATGTCAACAAAGAGTTATTGAGCGTTTACCATTTAGATGTGTTCATTGACTCCATTGAACAGTACCCGTGAGCTTTTGGACTTTTGGACCGGTCTAAGATTCTAAGAATGAATGGCAACGTAGTGATGACTTTTAATTTTATGAGCTCAGCAGGGATACAGACTACCAGCGCAGTGAGATTTCGGTCGGGATCCCCGATACCTCTGATAAGATCCATTGATTAGAGAAGAAGGTCACATTTCGTACCAGCAAAAAGCTTGGAAGATGGCAGTCCTCTTTCGTTGCCTTTGAAATTCCCGAGTCTCTAGCAGACTTAGGAAGTTCATTCCTGGAGCTTTTTGAGCTGAGGAATCGTCGCTTGTAAGTTTTGAAAAATTGCGCCGAGAAAAGCTTCGTGACTGTAGTATCATTATGGAAACATAATAATAATAGTTGTGGAGAACATCTCTAGTCTCTCTTTATATATCATGAATCATTCCGGTCCGTGTGGCACTAGAATAATATGGAAAAAGTTTTTCAATATTACGACCTTGTTGACACCATTGAATAATTTGTGTGCTCGCGCATTCCTCGTTTTAATAACTTCTGTTTTTGAAATAAATAAGACTAACTTATACTTATGAAACAAGAATAACAGATACGAATTTTTCTATTTGATATATTCAAGTTGAATATTTTCTCAATCAATTATCATGTTAACGGAAATAAATAAAGAAAATCTAATTATGTGTTTTTAGATTCTATGATATTTTTTTTCAGAGTGAAATTTTTTTTACTAATTTATTCTTCTTCAGACTCTTAAATTTTCAATAAAGTTAGTCATAATTTGGACATAAATCAATAAATCTGTGATGTTTATAATGAGTTTTTATTATCTTCTCGGAAAAAGGTCTTGGAATATCCAAAAAAGAAGATTACTCCAATTAGATACATCCAATAAAAACATATGTTTTGGATTTCATGAACACTTTGAAATAAAAAAAATGAGAAGTTTGTTACGGTCAGTGCAATTTTAGTATCGATGTTTTGCACATTATGATAGATATTCATTGGTGATGTGAACTAGAATGTTTTAACAACGGATTTAGCATGACTGTGATGACCCTGAATTTGTCAAAAATAATCATAAATCACAAGTGTTGTATCATGTCGATGATCACTTATGAATCAAAGCAAATAAGAAAATTATATATACATATATTTCTTGGACTTGTTCACAACATTTTGAACTCGAATAATGACTCAAGTGCAAAATGTGGGCAGTCCGATGCAAGAGGACAGGAAGCGCCAGTTTCATCGGCGAGCAATCCGTTGACAATCTTTCGCAAGCCCCGGGGTTTAGACTCCAGATGTCCAGAAAAGTGCGAGTTCACTTGCGCTGCTGACTGACACGGGGCGATGGAAATCTCCTGCTGACAAGCAGATGCGGCTGCTGGACTGCCGCCGCGCATGTTCTCTGCGCCAAAAGGAAGGACATTCTTGCGGTTCGCTTTTCTCGCTACTTTCAGCGTAGCAGTTACTCGGACCCAAGGCAAAGATCTGATCTCGTATCATGGACAAACATCCAAATTCGCATCAAAATTGCATCAGGCCTAACCTCATGACCTCGTTCACTCCCAACTCCCCTGATCCGAGCTGGACATAGCGCGACAGTCTTGGGTTACCCATGTCTCTCTCTACCAAGACAGCAGCCAGTGTTCGGAGGAAAGTCCCGTGAGGGAAACTGTCGACCGCCCCACCTGACACCTTCGTTAATACCTCCATCTGGAGCATTTCAGAATCCTAACGATAACTCTTATTTGAATCTCCACATGATCATATATCCATAGGCTAGTGCAGATCAGTTCACGTTTGATTTTGAATAATTGGAATTTGAACAGATCTGACGCCCAAAAGAAAAGGATCTGATTAGTTTAGAAAATCAAACAAGATCAGCATCTATAATGAAGTTGATCTAACATAAGCCTGACTAGTGATGTCTTTGTAGAAGGATAGATTCTTTAGACATTGATACTTTTTTGTAAGTCAAGTAAGCTAGAGTGTACTTATTGCATCTCTTATTACTATACTTTTGCAAGCATGTTCCATTCCAAGAAAATGAATAGTTCTAAAAAAATGAAAAGTCGATTAGTGTAAAGTTTAAGATTGATTGTTATGAGATGAAGATCAGAACAATCTTATTCAGCTACCAGCTGTATATTCAAGATCGAGAGAGTACAAAAATATATACAGAATGATCAAATTGGATATACGTTTATGCCTTTGTCATTTCCAGAGTTTTCATATTGTTAATGCTTTTTAGAATAGATACCTAGATGTGAGCAAAAGAGGTATCTCTTTGAATATTTTTAAATTGATATGGTATGCATATTAATAATTAAAAATTGTCTGACTTCTTGTATACAAAGTCCAAAACTTAGTTTATATCCACGTGCATCCTTTAACAAAGGTTTCTTTGACATAAGTATTTTATCAGTCCGTAGAAATGGAAATTGACAGGTACTCAAGGGTGACTATGAACTGATTGAGATCTTCCTCAATCAGTTCAATCTAGATGTAGAAAATGAATCAAATCCTTCTAGGTTCAAGACAAATTCAATTCTGAAGTAGGTTTGGTATGAATCGGATTGATAATATTGCAATAAAACTGATGAGAGTATTTGCCAGTAGGCAAATACTCTTACTATCTTCCAATTCTCACATTTGCTTCACTTGAGTCACGAGTAGTATTAGAAGCCTATGAGCAAGACACCAGCTAGAGCATTTTAACTGTATAATAAAACACAGATGCGAAATGTGTCGACACTGGATGTAGATGGAATAGGGTGCGTTCAGATAAGACTAGCAAATAACAACTTCTTTTACAAGTCAGAGAGTTTTTGAACTTGATGCGTGCAGAAAACTGTGTAATCCATGTTCTTAGATTGTTCGTGGATAGATCAGAGACCATTGAACCGGGATCCTATTGCCTGGAAAATGCTGGACGAGAGTTAGGATCCAAACAGAAGAACAATGCAAGCGACCTTCCGATGATGAAGACTCGGGAGCAGAAACTGTGTTGAATGTTCAAGCAAACGGACTGCTTACTTATCGAAGACACATTCAAGAGCAGTTGAACAAATATCTTTAAGAACGCTAAAGATAATGTTATTCAGTGAATTACAGAGCGGACTCAAATCATACAATTGTTATGTTTTTCATGTCTGATCGATCCGACTTGCGACAACAAGGCTTTCTCCTATGTATCACAAGGTTCCCGCTGAATTATCAGAATTAACCTTTTGAATAAAGTGTTTAAGATATTTGTAGATGTAAACTTGTTGTAGGAGGCCATCGTGGATCTGGACTTGACGCGCAAGGACGAGTCTTCGAGATTGTCCACCGTCTAGGGGTTGCAGGCTAGATGACGTATTACCTCCATGTCATGGCCGTTGATTGCTTCTCGACTGAGACTTGGCTTCTTGACTTAATATTGTCCGACATTTTCGATCCCCAATCTGTACAATACGCATTCGTATGTCATAGAAACGAGACTCCTCGGGCTTTCCAGCTGACTGCACTACGACATCGTGCGATCATGGTCGAGAACTACGACAAATGAATTTTGAATTTGACCGCAAGAGTGTACCGTGTTTCAAGGTCTGAAGCACGAAATTCCGATCGGGTGTCCAAAATAGTTTACATTGCCCTACACGGATCGAGTCACAGCGGTCGTTAGTTGGACCCGGAAGGATCTTTGAATCTACCGCAGCTCTCACTGGTCACCCTGGATGCTGGGTCAAATCGTCCTTTCGCACTTCGCTTCGACGAATGGAAAACGAAAGTTGCCGAATCGGAACCGAGACTGCCAAAATCGTATCATTTGCGTGTTCGTTAAATTCAACGATGAGACAGAGTCAGATCTTCTACTGAGGCATCATTGCGTGCAATTATGCCTCAGCGCATGTAATTGCGTCTATGCAATTAATGGTAGATCTTGCCATGAAGCGCGAAAGAGTTGACTTACCCAACAAACACCTCATCTTCGCTTTTCGCTTCTCGTTGCAAAGACTTGAACTGCAATTCTACGAGAAGTAACCCTCAACTAGAGGATCAGTAGAACCCTAGGAAAATGATCTTCTACTCATAATTAATTATTCTCAGGATCTTATAAATATCCTGCTGAAGTTAAATATTTGGAAGGTTTTTATCATTGCTTTATGCTTCAGTCATTTCACAAATATTTTAGCTAGATCAATTCTAATTTATTAAATTTATTACAAAAATATATAACCTGCATCTTGTGGAAAAATATAATTATTAATTAAAAACATTTCTACCATGAATTCGTTCAGATTAAAAGAGATAAAGAATTGTATTATGCAAAATATAGCTTACATGATTGTAACTTGTGTGAAGCGGAAGAGCATTACTCTCTCTAGTGTTATACTTCAAAGCCTTTCGATGGAGGTTTTGTACTTGAGAATCATCTCATTCAAGGCTTGCCGGGTCAAAATTATAGCAAACCTCGAGGTTTGTGAAGCAAAAGCAAGTGAATAAAAAAACACACGAATTCAGCGTACTCCATTTCTGCGTATTTTGGTACTTAGACTGTCTGTCACCAAAATCATCCTCGACATTAAGTTCATCTTGAAGTAAGTTCTCACTTCTTAGTGAAGTCGGATTATGTATTCTAAATGTGTTTAATCCAACTCAAATTAAATCTAATCGTAGATAAAGTTATATAATTTCAACAGTCTTGTACATTGGTATAATCACTCCATATATATTTATTCTAGAACAGTCTATTCTTGACCTGCATGAGTCAAGACCCGGATAATCTGCTGCTGAACTGCAGAAAAACTGTTGTCTTCAGTAAGATTCACCTTCAGCAATGGAAATTCATACTTGTCATGGCCCGGTACAGTAGTTGTAATCCCAATACAAGAGAATGTTTAGTTCTTTTAAGTATGAATCATACTAACGACACTAATACTTAAAAGAACTAAACAGCTTATGAACTTGATGCGTGCAGACACTTCACGCATGTTGTACATTGGTATAATCACTCCATCTATATTTATTCTAGAACAGTCTATTCTTGAACTGCATGAGTCAAGGCCCGTATAATCTGCTGCTGAACTGCAGAAAAACTGCATGAATTATACTAACGACACTAAATGAGGCTATGGGTATACTTTAAACATATAGGAAAACCTCATATGCAGTTATTTATATCATTTTATTCGCTAACATGAATTCATCTCCTACTAACATACAACTTGGTCTAGAAAATGGCTATACATCCGCACACATTTGAAAATTGATGCACATGTTCTTAAAGCCTAGACATCAAAATAAAATTAGTTTTTATTACAAAAAGATCCTATATTTAGGAGAATTTTCTAATCATATTTTTAAATGAATTACCACATGAGGGTACATGCCGTTTTACAATATACGTTGTTTTCAATGTTTGGTTCATGATACTACATGTTTGAAAGTGAAGTTTATGTTTCCGCATTAAGCAAAGATCACCACGGTTCACAACACGTGCTCTAAATGCTAGTTTTCAATGCGATCACAACTATGCATACAAAACATGATGAAGATGAAAACATATGCCAAGAGTATAATTCTGCTTTTCCGTCTCCGACGAATTATGTCACACCTTTGATTCTTCAGCTTGATCAAAGGATGCCACAAGGAGCTTGGAAGCGATCAGATCATCTTTGTTTTGTCAGAGCATGTTTTGTCTTGGGCTTTGAAAGTACTCTGATAGTCTCATCTCTATATCATGTGGAAGTGAGTATGAGGTTGGATACATGGCATGGTTTTTACTTCTTCATGGAGGTGAGCTCCGTCCGTTTTAAGGGATTTGCTCTGATTTTAGCTCATTTGAAATCGGAGTCGTTAAATGCCGCCTTGAAAAAAAAGGAAAGCAATTTACCATGAATTCAACACCTTTCATGGAAATGTGATGCGTAAATCACCTGGCGTATTACATCATTTACAAGCAATTCAAGGGGCGATCCCAAATATTTTATCTTTATTAGTAGCAAGATCTACGCTAGTACATAGACTTAATCAGATGTAAAAGTCCTTCAACAGTGAAAAATTGCTCCTCGCTATTGGGTATCGTGATACTGTTTTAGACGGGATGATTGCTTCGATATCACTTCCCTAAATTTGAAATTCCAACTGTGAAGTTTGACGCATGCGTGACAGGTAAAGCTCTCTTGCTATGCCACTTGCACTGTGTGGTTAAGACCAGTCAACCCTCGGAGTTAGGATGGTAGAATGCATTCTTTGCAGTGCAGGAAGGAAACAAAGAGTCCTGAGAGACATTTTCTCTCAGGAACCTTTAGTTGATTTTAGTCATGAGACCTGAGATTATCATTGACATGCTGTACATGCATGTGCTATACTGCTGCAGCACTGTTAATAGACGAAGCACATCTGCGTCGCTAGAACCAGGCCCTGTTCTTTGAACCGAGAGCCAGACCAGACCCATGGGGAGCTACGAGCCCGGCCGGTCGCTGGAGTTTTTGTAAACGCAAGACAATTCTCCTGTCCAGCCGCTGCTCTTCGTATTCGGTCCTTCGCGCCCTGTGCGTGTTGCGAAAAGTAAACGTGTCAGCACTGTTTCCATAATGTCACTACAGTCACAACGCTTTTCTCGGCGCAATTTTTCAAAACTTACAAGCGACGATTCCTCAGCTCGAAAAGCTCCGAGAATGAAATTCTTAAGCCTGCTAGAGACTCGGGAAGTTCAAAGGCGACGAAAGAGGACTGCCATCTTCCAAGCTTTTTGCTGTTACGAAATGTGACCTTCTTCTCTAATCAGAGGTATTGGGGATCCCGACCGAAATGTCACTGAGCTGGTAGTCTGTATCCCTGCTGAGCTCGTAAAACTTAAGGTCTTCATTACGTTTCCATTCTTTCTTAGAATCTTAGACCGGTCCAAAAGTCCAAAAGCTCACGGGAACTGTTTAATTGAGTCAATGAACACATCTAAATGGTTAAACGCTCAATAACTCTTTGTTGACATATCATCCACTTGCTTGAGAAACAGCGAAAGCTGGGCTCTGGGAACAGCATCTATAAATGCAGGACTTTTTGTCCCATCATTCCAACCTCCAATCCCACCGTAACATTGATGTCAAGATGGAACCGGGTCATTTGATTAGTCTTCTAGTATGTTTTCTCGTAGTCTCCTCTGCCACAGTTTGCATGGGAGAGAAGTGGCCGTCACAAGCCTCTAGTTCTCTCTCGCATGAGAAATCTGCCGAGTCCGTGAGAACTTTCATCCAATCTAGCCGTAAAGGCCAGCTTCTTTACGATGAGCGTCTTCGTGCGGCAAAGTTCAAGGAAAGGGAACTAGATCATCACAACCATCGAGGATTACAATTGCATGCGTCAAAGATTTATCACAGTGGGGAGAGGGTTCTTCATGAACATGAAACCGACCCCTCGCCCCATGGGATTTCACGAGCAGTTTCGTTGCTAGAAGCTAGCTTTATGTAAGTGAAATACTCCGGCTCCATTTTTCGTTTGATTTCCCAGATTGTAACCAAAGTTACTAGAATGAGCAAATGAAACCTCGTATTGCCAAATATTCAATTCTGCTTCAGATTGAGTTATTCTGTTAAGTTCATTTTTCCAGGGAAGGTGATGCACTTCTCGCATTCAAGGACGGGATCCGGAACTATTCGGCGGGTGCCTTGGTTGATTGGACTCCTGACAAGAGATCAGAGTACTGTTCGTGGTCGAGAGTCACTTGCAATCGTGAGTTGCATGTTACTGCTCTCCACTTGTCTTCGCTGGATTTGACTGGCTCGTTGGGCCCTTCCTTGTGCAATCTTTCGTACCTGGAAGAGCTCCATCTACACCAAAACTTTCTGAAAAGCGAGATTCCTCCGGAGTTAGGACGGCTCTCGAGGTTACGAATCCTGAACCTGGAAGAAAATCTGCTCCACGGAAGCATTCCTAAAGAGGTGGGAAATCTGACAAGCCTGCAGGTACTGAACCTTGGCTCTCAGGGATGGGACTTCAATGGAACGATTCCAGTTGAGCTCGGGCAGCTCTCGGAACTACGGTTTTTAAATCTCGGAGCTGTGAATCACCGGGATTCGGAGAAAATCAATTACATGACCGCTACAAATAACCTCAGAGGCAGCATTCCCAGGTCCCTAGGAAATTGCACAAAGTTGTTGTACTTGGATCTCTACGGCAACTTCCGTCTTACAGGTGTGATCCCAGAGGAGCTTGGAAACCTTATACACCTGGAGTATCTCAGTTTTGAGCAGAACAATTTCACAGGAGCTGTACCACATCAGCTGGGGAACTTGACCATATGCAAATACCTTAATTTTCGTGGGAATGCACTGCAAGGGCATCTACCCGTGGGACTTGCAAATCTGTCACGGCTCGTCGGCCTCGATGTGGGGAAGAACTTTTTCACCGGAAACCTGGTCCATGTCAGTTCCACAGCATGGTCTGAATTATTATGGTTCTATGCAGATCAAAATTCATTTAGTGGAACATTTCCTGAGCTCGTCTTCTCTTCTCGAAACTTGGGGGCGTTGGTTCTCAGCTACAACAACTTCAGTGGTAATCTGCCTGCGGACCTTGGGAGGCTGTCAAGTGCGAAGTACATCTACATGGATAGCAATATGTTCGGAGGAGACCTCCCTGAATCTTTAACAAACATGAGCTTGCTCACCTCTTTGAAAGTCTGGAATAACAAGCTCACTGGTACTTTGGATGCGGCAAGGAATTCAACACTGCTGGAAGTTCTGTATCTTGGAAGTTCGGATTCAATCCACAATACATTCACAGGACGTCTGACGGATGAGATGGTGAGGTCGTGGCCGAAACTGGAAATTCTGTACCTTGATTACAATGCTATGATAGGAAAGATCCCCACAGCCCTAGGGAATGTGACACAACTCAAATTTTTGTCTTTAAAAGGAAACAAGTTCGATGGAGGTATTCCTGAAGAGCTTGGAGACCTGAAAAAGTTGCAATTCTTGTTGTTGAATGACAATGAGCTCACGGGAAAGCTTCCCGCTAGCTTGGCGAACCTGCAGGATGTTGAAATGATAAACTTGGAACTTAACAAGCTAAGAGGCTCCATACCTTATCAGTTGGGCAACCTCACGAAGATGAGGTACTTGATGCTTCATAGTAACAATCTGACCGGTGAGATTCCACCGGATTTGGGGAAGCTAAAGAAGTTAGGATGCCTTAGTCTCTACAACAACAATCTCACCGGCAACATTCCAGTTACCCTTTCCAACTGTAGTGCCCTGGACAGAATTCTACTGAGTTACAATTCTTTCAAAGGACAGCTTACACACATAAATTTCGCAGGACTGGAATCTCTCCTCGTGTTTTCAATCACCGATAACCAATTCAGTGGTCTCTTTCCCGTCACATTATGGAATTGCTCTAGACTGTACTGGTTGGATTTGAGTAGGAACCAATTCTCGGGAATGCTACCGAAGTTTGATGTACTAAATGCGCATCTGCATCAGCCTCACTCACAAGGGTTAACCTTGACGGGGCTGCGAGTGTTGAGTTTGACGTCGAACCACTTCAACGGACCTATACCTTCTTGGATCTGGATGTTGCCGTTACTGCAAGTGCTTGATCTTTCTTCCAACGCATTCACTGGTGTATTGCCTAGGAACCTCTCAGGGTTGGTGAACTACAAGCTCCCCTTGGAGAGAAAACTCAATAGAGGAAACTACTATCTAAATTCGCGCCTCTTTGTGGATATATCACTCAGAAGAGGAGAAAATATTTTGGGATACACATATGTGCTACATTCATTGATGTTGTTGGATGTTTCTGGTAATGAAATTACTGGAGAACTACCCAAGGAGTTGGGCACATTGCACGGTCTTAAATACCTCTTCATGGCCAAAAACAATTTCGACGGATCTATCCCCACCGAGCTCGGAGAAATTATTGATTTGTCAGAGTTGGATTTATCTGAAAACCAACTATCGGGTCCAATCCCAGAGTCACTGAGCAGATTGCGATTGGGTTATCTTAACTTGTCACTTAATCAACTATGCGGTCCTATTCCTGTTGCAGATTCATTTGACACGCGCTTGTCTAAATCTTTTCTGCCTGGGAACCCCAAGCTTTGTGGAGATTCTATAAATAAGCCCTGCCAATCTTTTGCTTTTAGTTGTGGTGGTGATCTTGATCTTGTTTCCATCACTAAAGGGGTAGACTCATGGAGTTTGTATTTTCATGGTGTGCCCATGACGGCCTTCGCAATAGGAGCTTCGGTTGGATTCGCTACTGTCATAGGTCTGATTACTTTGATCCCATCCTTGAGAAACAGGTTCTTATTTGCAGATAATCCAAAGATGGAGCATACTCAGTTTGACTATGGTCTCTTTGTCCGTAGTTCTTAGATCTATGTATGAACCGATGAGAAATTTCTCGTACGTGAATACATATGATGATGTACTGTAAATCTGGCTAGCATGGCGAGGCTTACGTAGAAGCTTGTAAGATACTTAACGAGTGCAGATCATGAGCTTGTGCAACGAATAGAAATGTACACTTCTTCCATATAGTTTGAATCTGGTAGATAATATTGCAATAAAGCTCATGAGATGTGCAGCATTTAATGGTGCAGGTTCTACATGCCTCTACTCTGGTTTAGTCATGAAATTATTTTTTTACATAAATTTGGTAATTTTTTTGAAATAAAATTTCAAAATGTTAACGTAAATGAGTTACAATGACACTAGGGTAGCAGATCAATGAGTTGGAGTTGTTGTGATGCTGTGATGTCTGTAGCTATTATATGGTATATAGTTTCATAGCATGGTTCCATCAATTGTTATGTGGCGGCTTCGTCACGAGGAAGGTTGCAACTTAAGTTCATAATTTGAAATTTCGATAATTATTTCATAAATTATTCCCAAAAATTATTTCATCTTATTATCCTAGATTATTGCAATAAAAATAAAAATATATTTCTGCTACATATAAATTTAATCAATAATTCATATACCCCAATGTATTGGGTCATTTAAAAAAACAAGGATTGCAAGATTGTATCCAACAAAATGAAGAATTTTATTTTTTTGATAAATAGGAATAAAAACATAACATGGCTCATATCAACAAGTTTACATCTAGAAATATATAAAACACTCCATTCAGAAGGTTAATTCTGATAATAGAGCGGGGACCTTGTGATACGTAGGAGAAAAAATTGGTGTCGCCAGTCGGATCGATCATACATGGAAAACATATTGTATGAGTTGAGTCCGCTCTGAAATTCCTCGAGTACCATTTTCTATAGCGTTGTTAAAGATTTTTTTTTAGCATGATTTTTGTTCAACTTCTCTTGAATGTTTTGTCCATAAATAAGTAGTCAGTTTACTTCAACATTCAATACAGTTTCTTCTCCCAAGTCTTGATCATCGGAAGCTCGTTTGCGTTGCTCTTTTATTGTGATCTTAACTCTCATCCAGTATTTTCCAGGCAGTAAGATTCCGGCTCGATGGTCTCTGATCTATCCCCGAACATTCTTAAATCATGTAAGCGTTTCTTCAGTAACAGTTAGATGTTAACCGTCTACAAAGTCATGTCCACTTAGCATCGTTGGCAATGACTGGAGACCTGTGGTGTGTCATAGGGTCGATCTCTCTGAAGTGTTAAATAAAAATCCTCTCCATAAAACCCATTCAGTGCTTCTCTTTCATAATATAGGCGAACGCGATTCACACTGTCAACATATTACCGTGATCTTTGATTTAAGACTGCAAAAAATAATTACAATTTTCATAAGGTGTAAATCACATAGAACTGCTTTCCTTGTTTACAGAATGTCAAATACCAAGCCCTAGGGGGGCCTGTTCCTGACTTCAAAGGAATGACTGCGATAAAGGATTGTAAGCCACAACAGCATTGTTCACAGCTTGGGCCATGCATCCATATACTGTACTGGGCATCTGCACCGGTCAACGCCTATAGACAGGCATTAGCTAGCGTTTGCTCTAGTTTCCGTTTATCAAAGGTCAATAACTGCTTATGTTGTAATTTTGCTTGTCTACAAACGATCAGTGAATCGGTACATGTTGAGATCTATTGGAGTTATGTGACTTACTCTGCAGATTCTTCGCTGAGACTGGCGTAGTTCGAAGTTTACTTTCTTTATTGAAAAACATGGTTCAGACAACACACATAAAATGCCTGACCAACTTGACTCGTTATAATAGAGACGACTCTCACTAATGCGCAATTCTTAATTTCAGTTGATATTATTATTACTGAGATATTTGTAAGAATTCAAGTAGCAGTGCTTTGAATGGCCGTCGTCCCGATTTCCAAAGTGCAAGAGGATTGATAAAAGCGTAAGTCTGAAGGACAACGACTGGGATAGGAAACATGAGAATACTGAATGTATGTGTGTGGTAACACACTTTTTGTTTTTTTTGCAGAATTTGAACAATTTTAGAAAACTAGTACCGAAGCAGTGTTTGTAGTTAGAAAAGGGTACGTTAAATAGAGTGGATTGATGAGATCGTCACGAGGACACAAAGAATCACGTAGTCGGATGTACCAACGCCAATGTCTACGGCGCCTTCGGCAAAAGCTCCTTTTCTGAGGTGTCTCTACTCACGCGCCTCCAGCGTATAAGGAAGCTACGCTTCCGGCGCAGACACCTCAGGAGGAGGTTTTGCTAAAGACGTCAGGAGAAGGGCCTGGACCTCTAAAGGCGTCCGACCATGAGTGCGCCTTCGGCGAAGCGCCGCTAGCGCGGAAAGGGAAAACCGTCATAACAATCGGGATACACGGTAGATCCAGTTGGTTGAAGTCGCATTAGAAAGAGCTCGGGACGCTCGTTCTAACGAGCCCAAGAGCGTCGGATATGGATTAGGGACGGAGAAGTTATGAGCGTCGGAAAACTCGTAGCCGGACATGCACCGTTCGCGCTAGGGTTCACAGCCGGAAAGGATTCCCGTACGCCCTCGGCGATGCGCCTTCGGCGGAATCACGCGCTCATAGGCGGAAACCAACTCAGAGTTGGAAGCGCCTTTGGCGGCTGTTCATGGAAGGAAAGCGCCGGTCGGATGTACGCCTCCGACGTGGCGCTGACGGCCGGATGCGCTGGCATGAGTTGCGCTGGCGGATATGCGCCGGCAGCAACGGACGAGGCATAAAGGACAAAATAAGCGGTACGACTGCGCGCCGGCGTAATTCGCTCCGACTAGATGTGCGCCTCCAGCAAGGCGCCGACGGATAATGAACGCACCAGCGGCGACACGCCTCCGGTGAGGGACGGGTTAGGAAAAGACAACAGGGCCGACGTATACCCTGCAGCGGACTCGAGTCCGGAAGGTGGCGGCGGCGGGAGAATTCAACGTTTACGCATGCGAATGCGCGCAGTGCGGAGACGTGAATTCGCGCATGCAAAGGGCGAACCGTTAAGCCGTATAGCCGGCTGCGTACGTTGTAACCAGTAAGAACGTTGGACGTTCTTGAAATCGGAGAAGAAAAGACTGCGCTCCAGTCTCATTCTCTCATTCTTGACTTTGCGATTTCCAGTTTCCAAGATTACGCGCAAGGGCGGAGCGACGTGCAGTGAGAGTAGAGAGTGCGGAGACGAGTTGCGCAAGGATCTTGGCGGACCTTGAAAGAATTGCGAGTAGCGATCTTGAGCTTGAGCGCAGAGAGAGTGAGCAGTCAGTGCTTGAGCGGCCGACGCGCAGTGGCGATTGTGAGAGAGCGAGCGAAAGGGAGAACGTTTGTGTGTGCAGGCAACGCAATGTCGAAGGTTCCCCAGCTGCGAGTGTCTCCACTCAGGGTGCCGCAGATCGGTCTACGCGCATTTCAAGATGTGATGCTGAGGCTGTAGCTCGATTTTCTCCTATGGGGGTGGAACTGGACATGTCCGGAGATGGTGCGCGAGTATCTGCAGGAGAGACACAAGCCCTCTCGCGGATTCCGCCCACACCCAGAGAGATGGGACATTTGCAACTGGGCGCAGGTGTTGGGCAGGTGTGCCGGCGAGGAAGGGGATCTCCTTTTCGAGGCCGATAGCGTGAAGGTGTTCCAGGAGGAAGAAGTCTCTTACAATGAGCTCTTCAAAGTTGCCAGGCATCCCAAGAACGGTTTCCGGACACGGGATTACAAGGATCGATTGCGGAGAAATGTCGCGACTGCATTGCTGCAGATATTGCAGCCGACCAAGACCGCTTACATGCATGGTTGGCAGGTAGAGTTTGTGGAGCTAGTGTTGTCAGGAGCTCCAGTGCATTGGGCACGGCTCCTGTGGAAGGTGACGCGCCAACATGCGCAAGAAGAGAAGGGAGGAACCCTCAATCATCTATCGCCTTACTTAATCGTGTTTTATCGGGCGATGGGATGTTTGACAAATGCTGAGAAAACACGGTTTCCGCAGCTGACCCGGAACTATCCAGGTAGATATTCGAGGGAGGCCGAAGTAGACACGGATCCGGACGAGGAACCTGCCAGTACGCCTCCGGCTCCGGCTCCAGCAAGAGCAGCAGAAGAACGTCGAAGTGAGCGCATTCCGCGAAAGCGGAAGTGGGATGAGAGACCTGGGGACAGGCAGCCGGAAGTGCCAGCTGCGCCGACTCGTGGTCGGCCCACCCCCGAGCCTCACAGTCGACCAAAACAGAGGGCACGCAAAATGCCAACTGGTACTGAGGAGACCGGGCGAACTCCGACCCGGCGGAATCTCACACAGGAGGAGATAATCGCTCAGATTCTAGGGAAGACGGCAGATACCTCTGCACAGAAGGCACCACGGCCTTCGGGAGGAGATGGACGGACTGACAGTCGGCCGACTGCGAGTCGGATGACTGAAGGCCGACAAGCGGAAGGAAGGCCAACTGAACGGCGCGTTGAACCGGACAGCAGGCCGGAAGCAGAAGAGAGTTTGGCTGACGAGCCAACAATCCTCAGAGGGTCGTCTTCGGCGGAAGGCACTTCTGGGAAAACGCCACCAGCAAGCAGGCCAAGTGGAGTCAAGACGCGCAGGGTGTATCCGACTCCCAGTCGGACAACTGCTGGTCGGCCGACTGCGAGTCGGACAACAGAGAGTCGGCCGGATTCGCCGACTGCGAGACGGATGGGGCCAACAACCAGTGTGCGGACGCCTTCGGCGGACGCACCTTCAGCGAGGACACCTTCCGCGCAGATTGCGCCGGAAGGACAGGCAGCAGAAGCGGGCGGTGCAAGAGTGACAAAAGTCACTGCGGCGTCGACCCCTTCAGAAACCGAAGATCGAGCCGGAACAGGGGCTCAAGCAGTGGGATCTCCCACTGCCCTGGATATTTTAGCAGGCAGTGGAGCAGCAGTCGCAGCGGAAGCTGCTGCGCGCCACAGTTCCAGGGAGTCGCCAAGGGATTCGGTGGCGACTGAAATCCTC